GACAGCCCCAGACACAGGGGAAAAAATACAGCTCAAGACAACATACTTTTTTCCTCCATTACATTCTTATAGCCTTTTTTAGCCCTCTACATAAAGGTAGTATCATAAATAGTTCACTTTAAATGGGTGTACTGCAGAAATGCATTCTAAAGCTTTTAGCCCTAATACAGCTTGCTCTGCAACCCAGCTATAAGTTTAAAAGCAATACAAGTCATATGACAAGTTATAATCTTTAAAAGTTTTCTTTCTTGTTATCAAAGAAACCAACCACAAAAAAAAAAAGCAATAGGCTCCTGAAAAACTCTAAAATCCAATTACTTATTTTGAAAACAGTCATCCAATATACCAAAAAATTTATGAATGACATAATGCTGCATTCTAACTTGGTATGCACATAATTTGTGTAATGAAACATATTAATAATAAAATATCTGAATTCCTACTACAGCCACGAAGTTTAAAAGCTCTACAAGAGGATTTAAATCAAGCCTACAAACAAGCACCTAGACTTAAAACTGTAACTCATGTATTGTTAACACTGACACACATTGGTTTATCCACTTCTGTATTTCTAAACAAAAAAACCCACCCAGAAGTAGTCATTCAATACTACCTTGCATTTACTACCTAAAAGCCCAGTTCTGCTAAAATCAGCCTTTTATACCTTAAAACTCACCTTAGGTCTCAACCAAGATATCTCGCCTCTGAACTGGGCAAGTGGGGTACAATAATCAAAAAAAATAGAGGTATCGCTGGCCGGAAATATGGGGTCTGTGTAAAGGTCTCTCGCCACCATTAACTGCTTTTTCTCTGCCAGCATTTTTCAACACAGTCCTAAGCAGCTTTGCCGCTTATTCCTACGACTTTATATCGCCAGGCACCAACCTGCAACAGAAGCGAGTGTTACCGGGGAATTTTAACAGGGAAACAAACAGGCATGGCGGATTTATTTAGGGATGGACACCCTCTCACTCTAACACGGAGCACCTGGAACCACCACACTGCTGACTTCTTCCAGCACCTGATACTGCCCTACACCGCTCATCTGGAAGAGAAGGGGCCTCTGAGGAGACCTACACCCACTCAGGTCCCCTCACCCCGCTCAGCGCGCACCCTCACACAAAGCTTCCCGCCCACACCCTTTTCCTGACACTCAGCCCGAACAGGGCCTCTCCGCACACGCCTCCTCCTGTCCCCCAGTCCCCTGTCCCCACACGAGGTGTCGGCTCGGCCGCTCCCGCTCCCGTTCCCCCCTCACCGCGGGGCGGCTCGGCCGCCATTGTCCGGGGCGGCCGTTACCCGGCAACGCCGGCACGCGCGGCCCCGCCCAGCCGGCGTATGACGGACGGCGCCGTCGACCAATCAGCGAGTTCTACGTGTCACGCACCACGCGCTGGCCCCGCCCCTCCTCGGCTGAGGGGAGCAGGAGCGTCCCCGGGATCCGTGAGATTCCCTGGCCGGGAATACCTGGGAGAAATTGCAAACGAGCCTGAGGTACGGGCTCCTACGGGCGGAGGAAAATGACACCAAAGTGTTTTCATGAAGATTGTGACAGAGAAACCCAGAAAAATTGCTATCCTTCATCAAATGCTTTCTTGACATAACGGCAAAGATCACATTTTTGGATAGTTTATCACCATATAGTCGTCCACGGGCTGAACCGTCAAAGGAGATATGTTAATTCCCATATTCTGATAGCTACCACTGAGTAGTGATAGAAATAGGAAAAGTGCCTTAAAAGTACTGCCTAGCTCAGGAACAAAGAACAGAAATGCAGAAATAAGGGCCCTATGAGGCCGTCCTTCAGCACACCAAAGTTTTGGGTTTCAGAGCACACGGAAGGAAGCTGTTGTCTTTTTCATGTTTGGACCTTTCATATCAGTGTTTCTCCAGGAGCTCAGGAGTGGTCCATAAAGAAGCTGCTGAGCCACTGTGGAAGGATGAGGCATTTACGAAAAAATCTGGTTTTCACACTTGCCTGTGATGATGTGTTTTAAGTCTAAGGTCACCTAGTCCTTAGGTAGAGAGGTCATCTGAATGAGAGAGATCCACAGAAAACATGGGTCCGACTGGTTTTTATCACACATGAATGCTGCAATCCTCCTCTCAGCCAACCTTAGCAGATGGAAATGCTGTCAGGTAACTGCAGCCGCTGTCCACCCCCCTGACATTCAAAATAGGTTCTCTGCTCCTTGGTCATGCCTGTTGTACAGACTCAAGGCTTCTCTCCTGCATACTGCAAATTTAATCAACAAACAAGACTTTTCACATTGGAGTTTTGACCCTTTTGGGAGCAGAGGAAACATTGCTGGCAGTAAGAATAACCCTCTTGTCCAGGGCTCATGCGAGGGAACTGCAGCTGCGCGGCTGCGAGTGAGCGACACAGGAGAGCTCTGTTGGGGGATAGAAAGGGGAAAAAAGGCCTCTGTGTCAGGAACAGTGAGGCTCTGATCTGTGTGATTTCACCCCTGCATTCTTTAGGAAACAGCAATCACACAACTGCATAAATTCCATTAGAGGACCGATTCTAGAAAGCAGGATAAATGTTGAACTCTAACTGTAAATACAGGAGGTCTAGCCTGCAACAGTTAATTAGTTAGATACTTAACTATTTATTTATGAAGCTATTAGAAGAAGGAAAGAGATAGGTATCTGTCTTGGTCTCTCAGATACCTGACATGCTTTCCCTGCACCACGGCAAGGTTGGAAAGGGGCAAATTAATACAGTATGCAGTTGATTTTTTTCTGTTAACCCAAAACTCTTTGGAATGAAAGCAGCAGAGAACTTCCCCTGTTACCTCTTGGCAATTCTGCTGGATTAAACTGTTCCTGAAGACAAAACACAGGTCTATTTAGACAGAATGTCTTGAAGATAATGTTTTAAGACAAAATTACACATGCCTTGTTGTCAAACTGTTCCTTAGTCCACTTTAACGCAGGTGCTTTAGAAAGAAGACTGAGAGGGATTGAGTCCCGTTGCTATAGACATTTAAAAGGGATTTGTGTCCAGCTCATTTTCATGTGAATAAAGATGATTCTTTAGAATAGTGTTTGATATTTCCACGGTTGTTTGCCAGTTTTGGGGTTTCATCAATCCCATCTTTGCTTTTGTCTCCAATTTCTGGACGAGGAGTAAAAGTAATTGAGCAGCAGTGGCTGGGTCCAATACATGTGTTTGTTTCTGCAAATTCAGCATGGAAGCTGTTCACAAGGGAGCTCTTCCAATTCTCTGAATCCTGATAGCAGGATTAGGAAGGCACAAGCAATACTCAGCTGACAGTGATCAGACCTGTATCAAAGGAACAGCACAGAGTGTCTTCTTGCTTAAGGGAGATTTTGGAGTGGGTATTTGGGGTTATAGACCTCTCTCATTACCTCAGATACACACAGAGGTAGAGCACAGCTCCAAATTTCCAGCCTGGCTACCACAGCCCACAGGATGCTGCACCTCAGTAAATACGATTTTGGAAAAGGGTCTAATGCTCTGCAAACTCCACTAATGCCATTTCATTTTTAGAGAAAGACTCGTCTCTAGTATATTAGAACACCTTCCTTGCTGGACACAGAGCATATCATGTTCACCATAATCATAACTCTCTAGAGAATAAATCAGAGGCCTAAGACTTGAGTTTTCCAGTGCAGGAGGTACATGCAGGAAGAGGACTGAAGGGAAATTCTCACACAGGCTCAATCATTTATTGCAAGTATCCCTTTGTATAGAGTGAAAAGTCACCTCCAGAATATGGAATAGCTTTTCCCTACCCACCTTTATCTCTAAAAGGTTCTCATGTCCAGGTAAGACATATGCCAACAGGTGCCCAAATTACTACTGTTACTAATGGAAAAAACAGGATGAATAGACAATATTAATAGAAAATTCTTTTAAAGTTCATGTGGAATATACAGCAGCAACTGAGGTAATTTTTGAGAGACAGTGTGCAATTTCCACTTAAAAAGGATATTGAAACATCATGCTCCACCCAAGCTAAATCAATACACAAACTTGTGGAAGACACGTTGCAGCAATAGACTAATCAATCTGTTTTCTTTAAGAATTAAAAGTACTTACATGAGAAAGAGGTAAGTAGTTAATATGTGATTAAGGAGTTTAACTTTCAAAACAAAGCAGTAGTTTCCAGAGCTGGAAGATAAAAGTAGACAAATCCAAACTAGACATTAGGTATGCATTTCAGGGATGTACGTAATCAACAACTAAACCAATTTACTTGAGGATTCAACAAAATCAGTGTCAAACTGTGTCCTCACAACTGACAATAATTCTGTGTCACAGCGGACAGTGGCTTGAAAAATCTCACACAGTGTTTTCTAGTACAGTTTCTCTTGTACACCAAGTCTGATATTGTGGTCAAAGTGACTTTCAGATTTATCAATATATAGTAAAACATGTGAAAAGAAGTGTAATTTTAGTGTTGACTGTACTGTGTTGTTCTATCTTTGAATAAACAGGGAGAGCAAGAAGTGGGCTTGACCTAAGTGAATTGCGCAGCAAATGAGTTTAGATGTACAGAAGGTCCTGTGTTATCTGAAAAAGGCAATGGCCAAGGTCACTGCAGTGCGAGAACTTGAGAGTTCTGGTTGAAGCAGAATGTTTGGGATACTTGATAGAATTGTTCTTGGTTGATGGAGAATATGGTTAAAATGTTGCAATGTAGCATGACACCATAATTACTGATACAAGCTTAACAGAGTACACTGTAGCTAACAAGAATTATATTGAATGTATCAATCAATGTGGCTATGAAATGCTAAAAAATTAAGTCAGAAATATTCCAGTTTATTAAACGGTTTGGCTCTTCAGAGCTTTCCCACAAGTGATATTTTTAGATCCTCTGTTGCTCTGCTCAAAGCTGCAATGAAATAAAGTAATAGTTTTCATTTTCAAAATAAAAAAGATGACCTGATCTCTTGGCATCTGTTTGAATAAAACTGATTTAATGTCTGATATGACTTAAACAGATCAGAAATGAATGTACCAAAGATAAGGCAAATAGTTTATATTTAATCACAGTCTAATTTGCCTGTCAATGTGAAGTCTACTACAAATCAAGACAGCAAGTAGCCTGAAGCACCAATTTATTTTCTGTCAGCGAAAGGAAGGCTTATCTCCACAAACCTGCTGCCAATTTTTTGTCTCTACGAAATAAAAAATGTATTTTTCACTCACAGGAGAAAAATAAGTACTTGGAGGAGGGTGCATGGAATACTTCCAAAAAATCTTTCTCTGCTTCCGTGTTTCAGAAAGTCCTAGGTAAAAAGCCATTTGATGGGATCTCACAGAGATGAGAGCAGAAACACTAACTTGCATCTCGTGTTCTTTAACCAGGAAACAGTCTGTTCAGTTCAGCCAGCATTTCCTTGCTCTGCCGGGTGTCTATGCAAACACAGAGCTGATCTGATGTATTTCAGTCAGTTCTAATAACAATAGATATTTACGTTTGTTCATTAGCTTTTGCCACTTCTCCAGCACCTTCCTGTCCAGCTTTGAAAGAGCTTCCAAACTCCCTCTATGCTACACCCCAGAAAAGAACAAAACAAAGACAATGTACCAAGTTAGCTCTTCCACACAGGGACACCAAAAAACTGCCCAAAAGGCTGAACTTGTCACAAAGCTTAGTTTAATTTGACAATCATCATAAGGCATCCATGTAAATGAAAAATTCCCACCAGGGTCACAAACATTCTCCCACTAAATAAAATGTGTTAAAACAGAGGCTCGTGATTCCAAAATATGCTAGTGGTTCCTGGTCTCGAGCAGGCTGCTGCTGCTGGCAGTGGGGTCCAGGAGACACAGCACCAACAGCGGCAACTCCAGAAGTGTAAAGTCAGCTTGTACAAATCTCTTTCAATAGAACAACAAGTGAAAAGGAAAGAGATTTGTGTAGAAAACATCATTCTCCATCCTTTTTGGGAAAACAAAACAGAATTTAGAAGATAATCCCATTCAAGGAGCAAAGAGCAGAGCTTGGAGTTCTGAAGCCCAAAAATGCTGATGGCCCATTTTTAAAACTAATGAAGCACTACAGAGGCCTGAGTTTATTATTGCTTTATCCCAGTTCAGCCCAGGCTAAGGCTATGGTGAAGTCCAAATTCATTTAAAGCCAGAAAATGCAGATCCAGTAACAGCACCTAAGTCCCCATCCACACATGGGTGTAAACAGATACTTTTGGTGAAGGAAAAAAAAAACCCTCTCAAATTTCCTCCTCTTCCTGTCTATGCAGATCCCCATAGCAGGGCTAAAATTTGCCCTGGAGTATAAAACAATTTCTCTCTCACATCTCTGTTAGCTGAGCCTTTTCCAAATGTTTTGCCTTTTGTTCATAGTATCCTGGTGGTGATGCATCGGCTCAGAGATGCCTTGTGGGAGCTCACAGAGAGCACATGGGTACCCACGTTAAAAAGTTTGTGGCACAGAGTCTAAGAACCATCGCCTGTACTCTGCAATACCCAGGACACTTTGCCCTCAGCTTCCTGAGACCAATCAGCACAGAGGGAAGACAGTGTCTTCCCATTCTGCATGGCTGGCCAGTGATCCAGAGAAACAGCACACCAGGGAAATGAAATGGCACCTTATGCCCACCGTAAGTCAGAAAACAGACTTGGGTAAAGTGGGACTTAAAAGTTTTACATCAAGAAAGATAGTGCTTCCCTCAGACTATCGTATGACAGGGCAACTGTTATTCAGGCAAACATTATTCAAGGTGGTAAAATCTTAGTATGGATATTTTCATGGCTGACTTACAGGCCAAGATATGCTGGGGATCTTAAAAAAAATTACAGGTCTTGTTAATTCCTCCAAAAGGACAGAATAGGAGACACACAGAGTGCATCTGATGCATGTGCCACACATCCTGACACACTAGCAAAAGTTGCAGCTAGAGTTGTCAAAACAGTTAAAAAAGATTTAGGCATCCAGCTAGTACCAGAATTGATGGCATTTGGGAACCTAATTTTAACTTTTTTGAAAATTCAAGCCTACACATTTCCTTATTGCTTGTCCCATCGAGTGCAAAGGAAAAATTGAGAGTAGGGTTAACTACAGAAGGATTTCAAATCCATCATAATGTTTCCCTGTTCTTTTTTATATATCTTTTAATATATATAAAGAGCATTATTATTATTATTTAGCCACCTATGGGCAGGGGGGAACAGGAGCTATTTAAAATTAGTTTATCATTTAAGCATTAGTCTCCTTCCTCCCAAATCACAATACCTCTGTCATAGGAAGGAGCATAACATGGAAACATGTTTGCTGCCACTAACAATTCCTGAGTCTCTCTTTTGCAGAACTTTAGCCCAAATATTAGGACGACAGCTTGACACATACACACTCCCCAACAACATACACACAGCAAGTAGGACATGCCTCAGTGGCCTCAGACAAAAAAAAGAAAAAAATAGTAAGAAAAAGAACCTGCCCCCCACCAAACAACAAATCCGGAGAAACCATCCAGAAGAGCCTCAGGAAAGGGAACTATCCACTTTCCATGGAGAAGTAACAGCCCAGGAGTCCCTGCCCAGTAAAAACTGAATCAAAATATTCATCACACAGCTGGCAGAGATCTCTGAAACCTGGCAGTATCAAACGCTGGTTACTTGAAGGCACATTTGCTTTGTGTTTTGGGAGAGAAATCCAGTTACAACACACTGCAGCTGCAAGCCTGAAGGAAAGGAGGCAACGCTCGGTATCCTTCCTCTGTTTCTGTCCCCATTTTCAAGCTTCGTGGCTGGCATGAACTGGTGATCTAAGCAGACACGTTGACATCCCTGAGTGAAATGGCACCATTTGTGGCCTCTGAGACTTTGTCCTCAAGCACCATTGCTGGTGTGTCTGTAGTGACTGCTGTAGTGTCTATGGCAGGAAGTGGATTCAAGCCCTGGGATAAGATCTGTTGGATCGTTTTCCGCAAATTGGGGTGTAGCTGGTTCTGGGTCTGGTAAAAAATTTCTAAGGCAAAAGACTTGAGGGTGCCAGTGCAAAGGTCCTCATAAAGTGGAATTGTGTACATCCGAGACATCTACAAAAAAGGAAAACAAGATAAAAACACTTCAATAAAAGTCAAGAAGTTCAGCTGTTCTACAGCTACGCTCCAACAGCCCCCGAGTAACTTCAGACTGCAACACATTTCTTCAAAAGACAGATGAGTCTATTCTAAGTCTGATGCAAGGAATTTTATGAATGGTAATAAAAAGAAATCTGCTCTCTCTGAGACTGAGCTACTTCCACAAATAACAGAACTATTTTTAAAGGCCAAATAGAAGAGGCCACACTGAACATATGCATTAACCTTTTGCTCCTGCACAATAACAACTACTGAAAAGAACTCGATGAGCCCTAGCCTTGCTTGAAGTGTAAATATTCAAATAATCACATGATTTAGTAGTGCAAAAACTTGTCAGGAAAAGCCAGGGCTGCTACAAAGCAATACATAAAATGCACGGGGCAGAGCTGGGACAAGGTTATTGAGTCAGGCTAGAAAAGCAGAGATTATCTGTAGGCATTTGAAATTACATCTGCCCATTCCTCCCCACCGCTAGCAGGTGAGCCATGCTCAGCCCCTTCGCAACACACCTGGGCTACACTTGGCCAGGAAGCAGAAGTTCCAAGGTCTTTCACGTCGCATGTCTCATGCACATGTCTCATGCACTGAGAGGTGCAGTGATTTTAATCCAGCAGTTAGTACCTGGTTTTCCAAGAAGCGACGGACTTTGTAAAGGTCTGGATAATAGTCATTTCGGACTACAATCTGCAACCAGCGGATACGGATTTCTGCATTCATGGAGTCCAGCTGGGAGGAGTAACATTCCGAGAGCTTTTTTATCACCTCTGAAAAAAGTATATACACAGAGAAAGATGACCTATTTTGTCAATTTTGAGGGTCATCACATTAGTAATAATTCATAAAATCACAGAATCATAGAATCCATTGGGCTGAGAAAGACTTGTGAAGATCACCTATTTCAACCTCTCTGCTATGGCCTGGGACATCAACCTGACTTTAAGTGAATTATAATGTCAACCAGAGGCAGGGATCTTAAGAATTCAATCAATTATTCCAGGGATAATTTTCTACTATCCTGGTAAAAGTTCTCACCATGTGGCAGTGGTGATCCATCCAGCAATCTGTCCAGGAAAAGCACAGTTTGGAACGTTCTCCATTTAGTGAGGTCAACACTGCTGGCAGCAGCAACAGAGTCCAGGGGCTCTGTGGTCCAGAGTTTGAAGAGTGTCTCCACTGGTCTGGTCAGACTGGATCCCTGAGATAAGTCTGGCTCAGCTAACGGAGGTCCTGTAGCATTGAGCCAACGTTCAAACTCCAGTCCTGGAATGAGGAGCACCAAAAATGTGGAGCAGAGATCTCTGCAGGTGGCTTGGCTGCCTCAAAGTTCAGAACCACTTCTAGCATAGTTAAGAGAGGTTCCAACAACAGCAACCAATAGTTACAGTGACACAACAGTCTTAGCAGCCTCAGTGGGATAGCCTATGGAACACCTAGAAGAGTGCCAGCAACACCTCTCCAAACCTCATTGTGAGTTTTCTAGAGCTCAACAGTACAGTAAGTACAAGAAACATACGTGCTCTTATAAGGCAGCCAGGTTGACAAGTACCTGCGTTCAATTTATGCTCTAATATTTGCATGCCTGCATTTCCCTCTCAGAGGAAGACTGACAAGTACAGAGAAAACCCATTTTATAAAAGAAAAGGAGGTGAGAGGGCTGACTAAACTCCTCCTATCCACCAGTAAACTCAAGCAATTTATATTTATTTATGCAACTAATAAAAACAAAAAAAAGTTTCTTCACAAGCAGCAGACCCTGCTTTCCAGCAGAGCTCTTCCTCTTGACCTTTTACCACCTTTTACTTTCCTAACCCTTGGCAATACTTCCTGTTCCACACCATCTACACTAAAACTTCTGTCTTCTGCATCTCCTGAATATTAACCAGGCAAAAATTAGCAAATTCTGTGGTTAACTCATTAGCCTACCAGTGGGCCAAATAAAACAGAACACTGAGCTCATGCTGCAGCTTTTGCCACAGTAAACTCTCTCATCTACACCTCTCCACAGGCAGTTTCCTCTCCACAAAGCCTGCAGGCACCCAGTATCCTTAAGAGCTGTACTCTGCCAGCCTGGTTTAAACTGACCAATGGGCTCAACAGCTCCTCAAAGGGATGGACACATGGCAGGATAACGTAAGTCTCATTTCTTAAAGAAAGTGAGATAATAAGCACCTGATACGCCACAGACCTTCCACAAATCCACCAACAGCTATGAATAGGAGATATAAGAGAAAGTGAATCATTCTGGAAGAGATTTTATATGTATGGGTACGATCTTGGGGAAGTTACAGTTCTCAAGGCATATTTTCAGTTATTAAAATGGATAACATTTCAAAGTGTGTTCACCTTTTCCCTGCATTTAAGCATGTATAAATCTCACAAGCACTGATCATTCTGTCTGCAGAGTGAAGGGTGAGTTAATGAGAAACTTAACCAAGGGACACTCAGCTAATTAATACCAAAAACTGCCAGCAATTGCAGAGGTTCTCATTCCCCAACATAGAGGCAGTAACCACAAATTCTGCCAAAAGTATGTTGTTTCTGAATTATTTTGTTTGCCTTAGCACTTCCCTGTGCATCCTCCAAGTCAAGCACAAAATTTATCATCCAGGTTTTCCACAGTGTTTACAGTTAACTTAGTAAATCTTCTACCTGCTTTGCTCTCAACACATTGCTCTTTCAGCTCTGGAAAAAAATTCAGGAAGGAATCCAGAAGATCTTGAGCCACAACGCTGGTAAATTTATACTTCTCAATGTAGGCCTAAAATAGTAAAATGTTCAAATTATGATTAGGAGCAAGACAGCTTCCTTTTGATGTAGAACCGTTGCATGCCACAACAATAACAAAAACAAAAAAAAATACAAACATAAGAGTAGGAACAATTACTTGAAAGTTTAAAAAAAATGAAGAAAAATATTCTCCCTCCTCACCCAGTTAAATAAAGAAACACCATAACAAGAAAAAAGAATTAGTAGCTGCAAATACAGCCGCTGAGTATTTCATTTTCCTTTTCCAAAACAAGGAGTAGCTGGCAATTTTCTAAAGGTTTTGCAAGCGTGCTTCCAGGCACTGACCTGCCCCAATATAGTAACTCATACCCTTTGTCACCCTGGTTAAAAAACCCCAAGTTAACACTTCTTAGTAGTGAATCGAGTCACATCTTTCCATTCACAGGCAATCTGTGCTATAACAGCTTTCTAATTACTTGGAGCACAAACAAGAGATAACAAAAATATACTACTATTCTGTATCTAGCACCTCATAAGCTCAGAATCTCAGAAATCTTGTAGAAAGATTCATGTCGGTTGACAAGCCTACAACATTCCTCCATCTCTGACACACTTCTACTCAACTCTACGCTTAAAAATTAGCCATAGTGAAAGAAGCTGTGGAATAAAACCCCAAACAACAACAACAAAAAATCAGCTCTAAATCTCAAGACAAGACATATTTACACTCACTCTTAGGAAGGAGTCAAAGTGTCTGGGGTCACCACAGAGCTGGGACAGGTAGTAAACAAAGCAGTAGCCTTTCTCATAGGTGAAGAGGTTCATTAAATTACTGGGATTTACACCTGAAAGGATAGGAAACTAATGAGGTGAGTGATTTCCAGCCCTTCTGAGTTATACAGACCCCTTAGAGATCACTAAGGTGAGACATAGTGACTTAAAAAAAAAGAATCTTGCTGTCAGTACATTTAAGTTACTGCAGTAAATTAAAGAGATGCAGTCCAAAGACACAGCCTGAAAAATTATATACTTTTAAGAATCAATCATTGGAGGTAAGTAGTAATTCTCAATGGAATAATCACTGAAAACAGATCCAGAACTTGAAAAGAAGTAATTTTTTTCTTTTTTCAGTGCCACGTTCTGGGAATCACCATAGCACAAATTTTCAAAGATATCAGTATAAGGTAATCACTACTTGCTCCTTTTTCGAGGCTTCCAATGCATGCTTTTCCATTCCATTTGACTCCAATATCATCTCCACTGGCATTTTAGGTTGTTTTAAATACCATCAGATAGAAGACTGATTCACCCACCCAAACTGTGACCACAGAACTAGAGAACTACCAGTGAAGGAGATGGGTAAATGTGGAGCACAGTCATGCATCTGGCTCAGGGAATAACCCAACAGCCTCTGCACAGCTCAACTTAGAGCAACCTGTTAGAGCTACCGTTTATCTGCATGCTAAATACAATACATACATACTTACATACTTAGCTCTTACATGAACACATAAAGAAGAACATTGAATAGCAGAGGATTTTATATTATGTTTCTAAATATTTCCATTTTAAAATATGTTACTTTACATGTCCAGATTTTCAAACCCATATGGCTTTCAAGGCAGATTTTCACATTCTTCTACTCAGTAAGTCTGCTCTTACACAGAACAATATCTATAAAGGTGAGTTATCCAACCTTGAAAAAAGTTTGAAAGCAAAGCTTCCTTACTTATTTTTAGACTGGCTTACAAACCTGGTGTTTGTTGGGTATTTTTTCATAAAGGACAAGTAAATATTAGTCATTTTTTGTCAATATTCCATCATGCTGTATAATTTTGTGTAGAGTAGCCTCAGCCAAAAGCAATACCTGGCTCCAGTTTAACCTGAAGCTTGCTGACAGGGTTGTCTTCACCAAGGAGCTTCATCTGTCTGTGGAGAGCATCGAGGCGGAATGCAGTCTCCAAACAAGTGAATGCAGCTCCTATCCCAGAAAGTAACTTGTTAGTTGTGAGAAAATGATCAGCAAAACCTGATCTGTGCAGGACTGGCACAGGGACAAAGTAAAAGCTGCTGCAGGTGCAAGAGACAGAACAGTGAGACAGAACCACAGTAATATAATGGCAGAGAAACTTGAATGCAGAACATCCGTGTAATTAGTAATGGAAGTTAGAACCTAACCCAGTATATTTCCTCACTCTGATCATACATCAGGCTGCACTGAAAAACAAAACAGCATGAAAACTATGCTAAAGTTTACATCCTTGGCATCATCTTATTAGTTCTTTCAAGATAAGGAGAGCAGCACTGAAGAAAGTATTGTACAGGTAACTCTCAGGGAGCAATCAAGTGCTACAAAAACATACTGTCACTGGAATAGCAGACACAATTCCATATTCAGTGCCAAGGATATTACTAAGCAAATCTCACCTCTTGAGTGGAAAGAAAAAAGGATTGGATTTGGTTATTTTATTATAGATCCTGTGTATATTTTTTAAGCTTTATCCATCATCCTACCAGTTATTTGCCCTAAGTATTTCACCTTCCTCTCATTAGGACTTCTCACAGGTGTGACTGGGTAAGCTACTCCTCCTCTTCTCCCTAACTGCAATGTAGAGCATTCCATGTTTTCAAACCAAACTAGCTGTATTACACTGCCAAGTCAAGTGATCATTCATTTGCCCTTGCATACATTAGAAGCTGCAGAAAATGGATATTTAGATTTAGAAGATACTTAACATCCATAAGTATTAACATTTTAACCTTCTTTGCTGAATTTTTAACCTGAATATAGGGCTTGTTACATAGATAGAACCTCAGAGTCTCGATGTAACACTCGAATCCTACATAGCCAAATGTAAATTAAGAACCGGGATATATTTAGAAAACGGGAGAACCTGTATGAGCAGAGAAAGAAGTGGACGTGCTTCCCAGGGGAAAGCAAGAACTAGGATAACTAGTGTTAAGGGCAATTACTTCAAGGTACAGAGAGGAGAATTAAGCAAGATCCAAGAGGAGCGGTAGTCAGTGGACTCAAATTTCCCTAAACAATATCATTGCAAAGATGCCTGTTTACTACCAACAGAAGATATTCCAGAAGTTATGTCAGAAATGGTAAGATTTAGATCAGAGGTTTGTGTTGGAAACAAAATAGAATGGAGAAAGAGCTTACTAAAGAATTGCACAGAAGCAAATGCTTCTTGAAACAACCAGCTCTAGAGACCAGACCAAAATCAGCAAGAATTTTGTTCTAGGTTGGATGGAACAGACTAAGATGATGAATAGGTTGATATCTGCTGACCTACTCACTTCACTGCCATATATAACGTGACTTAGGACAGTACAACCCACTGAGAATTACTCATCATAAAACGGCTTTCAGAGATACATAATATGCATTGTAACATCTCCATAGATGCTCAGAGCACTTCTTTGCCTAAATTGTCTTCAGCTCATGTCCAGAAACAATGTACATTAATAAAAACAAATGCTTTCTTCTAAACTTTTTTGCTGCCAAGATTTCTAGGAACTTTTCTAAGATTGTTTGCAATGGATGCTTGAGAAAGCACATGGAACTGGCTTTTGAGAACATAACGGGACAAACTAGAAAAGCATAGATTCCCATTATTCACTTCAATAACAAGCCAGTTAAACTTAAAAGCAAGAGGAATGATTTACTACTTACAGTACCAAAAAACTGTGAAATTCACTGACACAAACAAAGGCAGGGCTTACAATCCTGCAGGAAGCCTCCAGTACATAAACAGCTACATAAATATGTGCAATTTTTTTTGGTGCTACTGCCATCATTCTTTTTAACAGTAGGTAGCTGCTGACTGATCAGAATTAAAAGGACACTTGCTCAGAGGACAGTTATTTCACAACATAACTGTGATAAGATTTCTTACATCTTTCTTTGAAGCATCCTCTGCTCACCTTGCTCTGGCATATCAGCACTTCCTGGTACCCAACTGTAGTTACAAGTCCCCACAGCATTGTGCTAACACACCTCACTCAAAGCCCCTGGTACCACATCAAGTATTGAGCCCACTAAAGCCAAGACAACGTCAAACTCTAAATATGCAAGATGTTCAACACAAAGTTTGGGGCTGTGTGTGGGTGTGTGTTCCAGAAATAAAACAATCCTAACTGAAAACCAGCTCCCCACAGACTTCTGAGTTTCCAAGGCAAATCCTCTAAGCAGGGAACTCTGAGTTATGGTAAGGAGCACAAGGAGAGGTTTCTGCAGTGTACCGTAGGTCTCGGTGGTGATCCGGCGCTGCGCGTAGGTGGCCAGGCCCTCGCTCAGCCACATCTCCTCCCACGTGGCGTTGGTGACCGCGTTCCCAAACCAGCTGTGGGCAACTTCATGAATGACATCAATGATCAAAAACTCATCACTCTCCAGAATGGAAGAGATGATGAAGGTCAGGCATGGGTTTTCCATGGCAACAATAGGGAAGGATGGAGGAAGAAAAACAATGTCATATCTAAAATTAGGGAGAAAAGAAAGAAGATGAGTAAATTGCAGCTAGAAAACACAGTAACATTTTCTTCTGTCAGAAGGCACAATAACACTTTTCTTCCTTTAGGGAAGGCTAGCTCTTCTGAGACCTTCTTGTGACTTCAGCGACAAACCTTCTAGACCAGTGGTGCCTAATTCTTTGAGCAGAGGATCGCAATTTATTTTGTTGGCCAAGGACCTGCTTGTGTTTGGACATAAAGACTCGACAGTTTTTTAATGTGCAGTGGATGCAGCACATCCTGGAAACATTGTGCTCCCTTCACACACACAAATTCATCACGAGTTGTGTATCTGGGATCTACAAGAATTGTTTACACTATAAATAGTAGTGTAACACAGTGTTGAGTCCCCAGAGGCTCCTAGGAAAGAGAGTTGAAGGAAGCTGTCAATGAATTAATTGATTTCCTATACATGCAGTGTCAGCAAAGTAACTTTAATCTGTGTACTTCAGAACACAACAGTAATAATTGTTTTGTTTTCTAAATTTTTTTACCAGTGATCAGCTCTGGCACACTGGGCCATATTCTCAGATTATTTCAAGCAATATTTTATAAGTGAACAGCAAGGCGATCTTCCTGCTTACCTTTAGCAAAGAAATATAGGAAACCTTTGTAAACATTTTCTCCCATCCAAAGAGTGAAAGTATTCTCTCAAAACCACTCTTTTTTAATACATAGTCAAGCTATTCAATGTTGGTTTGGGGGACTTGGATTCTCAATGACTCTGTACTGAGATTTTCAGTATTCTCAGGCATGCCACAATAAATGCAGAAATAAATGAGATAAAGGAAACAATACATTTACAATTACAATTACAAAATAAATTTTAAATGGTGTCTGGCCCAGTGCTGGACTTACACCACAAAACACTGTAGTATGAGAAAACCTCACTCCTCACGAAAGTTCCACTGTTTAGAAATTTCTAGTTCTGCCCTGCAAACCAGCTAAAACACCTCCATGCCTCCATGATCCTCCCTGCCACTTGTGGAGACAAAAGTCCAGAGTGTTTTCAGCCACTACAATGCTGCCAGTTGAAATGCTAGTTTGCCCTGCTATAGGGAGAAAGCATGATCATTTCTCAATACTGTTTTATTTTGTTCTCATTGCACATTCCCAGGAGTCTGATTAAACTCACCTTCCCCATATATAGGGGCCGTACAAACTCTCTGCAGCAGTCAACCAGCGTTCAACAATGCCAGAAAGCTTGCTGATGGCTGTTGGCAGCAGGCAAGGCTCTGCCCACACTCTGCTCCTGTCAGAAAACAGAAAACATCAGGTGATATTTCAGCAAACTGAATTATCTCTTAGGAAAAGAAAAAAAAAAAAAACCTTGACTGCTTACCACACTTCCATGTATGGTAATAGAGCAAGGAGACCTCCCATCAGACCTGGGCCCTCCTAGACTAATGCTCCATGGAACATGGCACTAGGTAACCAAAAATCCCTTCAACAAGGCAACCAGAAAGCAGCTGTAATGACTTCAGGGAAGAGTAGGCAACATTTATGAAAGAGGAACATGTCTTTGCCAGTGCACTGCCATGAATTTCTTTATACCCAGCTACACTTCAAACTCTCTCCGTGCTCACAGCTCATGAACCCAGCTGCTCCCTTATCAATGACTCAAACATCTTCACTACTTTACAGTATGAAGCCCTTTGCAGAGACATATAATGCAGAATGAACTCACTGCAAATCTTACCTTGGACCTATGTCTGCATGTATGAGGTCTCCAGCCACCAAGGCCACTAAGTAGGCAGGAACTGGATATTCCATGTAAAATTGATATACACCTTCCTCTTCTAGGTAGGAACTTTGGGTGGCACTCATCAACACCTGTATGCCTGCTGGAGCCTGGAAAACCAACATCATACACATCAACTCACCAGATAATCACAGGTGAATGACTGAACCACAGATCTTTGGTTCCTTTTCATCTATGCCTGATGATGTACATTAAAAACAATCATTTATAGAACACAAAATGTGAGGTTTTCATACCACAATCTGCCCATACATGAAAACATACCAACCAAACACATTACTCCTCCTATAGGAGCTGCCAGCTGTCCCAAAAGCACCCACATATTATTTAATCTATACACAATGCAGCATTATTTGATACAGATTCCAAACAACTTCAGGTTTTTTCTTCCAAAAATTGGTACAATAAAGTTGTGCATTATCATCAATAACCACTATTGGAAGGGACCAAACAAATTCTCATATTTGCATTTCATAATTACCCTTTCAGCATTAAGTACAAGAAAGGCAAGACCCAAGAGTGGTAGGCAACAGAGCTACCTTTTTGGTACTACACTGATTCTGGCCCAAGAACCAGAACTGAACCGAAAAAATTCACTATTCTTTGTAACACTGAACCACAATATTTTGACCAGGTAAACTGCTAAAAATACCTGATGTAACTATGTGTCAACAGCAACTAAGAGCTCCATGAACCGTTCACAGCCATCTCTTACCTTGACAGTAGCTGAGTAGGTGCATTTCACTGCAGGGGTGTCAAAACAGGGGAAGAAGGAGCGGTTACACACCGAGTGTCCCTGTGTGAAGACAAAGGGCTTGGCATTGCCGTATGTCAGCTCTGGATCAAGCCACCAGATCTGTTGAAACACGAGGGGAAGAAGAGTGAGGGAAACAGAGAACACGGATAAACTGCCAAAAACAAAACATGAAATCAAGAGGATTGTGGGGGAGAAGCACCACCTTAGCTGTTTAGCTCCCCAGATGAGCACCTGGCATGGGACACATTTCCATCTCTAACAATACCTCTTTCTACTCCAGTTTATTTGCTGGGAATGCTCAGAAAAATTTCTTACTGTTTGAACACTGAGTGGTGACATGCAACAGAGTAACTTCCAGGCACTCACTATTTCTGTTGTATCAATTTGCTTGGTTAATAATAAGTCCCTAACAAACATCCACACAGCCTTCTTCTCAAAGGGACTACACTGGATATCTCCATGTTTGTAACTCACTATGAAAAGGAATAGAAGGACTGAGGTAACATAAGCTGAAGAGGAAAAAAAAAAAAACCAAACCCAAATCCACTAACCAAAAATCCCTGAGGCTGAACAGTGTACACAACATTATCTGTGACCCTGACACTGCCCTCCTGGCTACAGCATCAAACATTTTGACACTATGCAAAAAAGTCAGTATATGTAAGAAACATCTGGTCAAGGACACTGGAGGCCCCTTTTTACGGAATGGATAAGGAGATTCTGGGTGGTCACAAAAGAAAAGCCAACAAAACACACCACTGAGCACGTCAATTTTCAGCACCAAACAGCGAATAAATCACGAGTCAGACCCTCAGCAAATAATTAGAACAGATTAAGAATAATAAGAAAAAGTCCAATTATTTGCCTTTTGCTTTTTCTGTTTCAAAATTTGTGCTTTCACATGCTCCCTACCTCCAACTTTGAAGTGTAGGAGCAATTTAAAATAAGGACTTCCTTGTAATCCTAGAACTCCGGAGCTGAACTTTGATGGAAAATATCAAATATTGTGAAATTTGCAATAAAATTGGAACCACTGGAAGTCTTGGAAACAGTCAAGCCCAAGGAATAAAACTTCTGAGTCTGCTGTATTCTTAGATCAAAGCAAGCAGTAAATCTGAGATCAGGGAACAGCAGTTCGTGCAAATACTAGTTCAGTTCTGGCCCTCAAGGGGTAGGAATGAAACACAGAAGAGAAGCCTGGGTACTAAGTCTGCTCATGTTTTAACAACATATTACAACTCTGTCACCTAGTCAACTTTTGGAAGCTAGTTTTCTCTCTCCTTCTGTCCTATAAGGTTACATTTTGATATCTTCTTCCCTCGCCTTTAGACCTTTTTCCTCAGATGCCAGTGTGCTCCTCTCCCAAATCATTCATTGGAGCAGTACCCCCGGGGATCAGTGAAAGGTGAGGACAGGAAACACAGTCAGCAGCTTTCAGTTATTCCTATGGACTCTCACACTTCTGCTGGCAAATGTTTGGGGTTTTTAGATGGGAGGCATTACAAAATTAAAAACCTTTATCTAGAAGTAAAATTAATCTCTTGAAATTTAAGATTATTCTCTTCTATTACAAGACTGTAAGGCCAGAAACAAGCTTAAAGCAGGACTTCTGAGGACCTCAGTCTGTTCACATCCACGTGCTGCATTTCAGCATAGCACTGCCCACAGCCTTGGGTCACAGCCCAGGGGCACCTACATAGCCACAGATTTCCTACATTTCTCATGGATACCAGCGTTTCACAGCAATGCGTATCATTTCTGCAATGCCGTATTATGGAACTGGAGACAGCTGTTCCAGAAGGCATTTGGGGACATGTCTCATTACACACCAATAACTAGTAACTTCCAAGCAGAACACATATTTACAAAAAAATGAAGGTGCTGTATTTTAATATAGGGCATGGCCCAGGGAAGAGGCTCAGAAATTAAATTTCAAAGATTTGCCCCAATGCCTTTTAAAAACACTCCTCTGATCAGTGACTTTGTGCTTGTATCACTGAGTCTGACTTCCAATCTGTACCAGCTGGCCCTGCTGAGGAGACTCATCTTCAAAATATTGTTTCCTTTGCTTTTTGAGAGACAGAAGAGGCTAACACAGGAAACAGAGAGATAAGGCACCACCACACCTAAGTTGCAACACTTGAGTAGGAAGGAAAAAGGGCTGACAGATGATGCCTTTACAGCAGAGAGATAAGGGGAAGTTCTCCCTAAGCAGTGCAGGAGGAAAACATACGCAGGAAGGGAAGGGGAACCAAGAGCTGATTCTTGTTTACAAGAAGCTCCATAAATTAAGGACAACGTCTTTTCAACCAGTCCCACTTTATTTGACATTTGGTTGAAGTTAAGCGAAGCACCAGCCCCAAAAGCCAAGAGGGAAAACATTTGCAGAGGATGAAGTATTTTTTTCCCCTGTTTTCTAATGTCTGCAGCTACATGGCAAGCCTCTGTCTCGCTTTCCAGATGCACTTGGAACAATGATGAAAGTTATCCTGAAACAATATAAATAGATCTGTAATATAAATAGACCAGGCTATGCTGCCGGACAGAGGCAGAGCTATGGGCTGGGGAAAATGAGTATAAGCAGCATCCCAGAAAGGAGTGTAAGGCACAGGGTGCTGCTGGGGCAGGTGGTGGAGCATGGGGACAGAGCAGTATTTGGGGCTGTATCATCTACTCCACATCCAAAATCCTCCTCCACTTCCCCTTGGGAAATACACATGACATCGTCATCATGCTCTTCATTTTTATCTAGCTTTTCATGTATACAGGAAAGCTGTTTCACACATTAAAGCCATTCTGTGGTGCATTTCAATTAAAAAGACCTGCTTGATTCCTCTGCTGAACAAAGGCTTTGGGCAGCCCAGGCTTTCCCCTGCCTACATACTGCAAAGAAGCTCACACTTTATAAGGCACCTGCCAAGAGTATAATTTTTATTGACTTAGATCATAATCTTTTCCCCAAATCTGGCAAATGACAAAGGCAATTAGCTAAGCCTCTTTTAATTTTAAACCTCTCCATGTTTCTACATGCATTATTGATGAAGGTCGCAGGAAGAGCTGCAAAGCCACAGCTTCTGTTCTAGGCAAACAAGCTGCTCTATCTGATGACAAAGTAAACAAAAAACCTCAGATGTAGAGCACGTGACAGGAGCAAGGCACACCTGGGTGGCAGCAAGTCATTCTATGGGGACTGAGGAATCAAGACAAATCTAAGGAATTACAGGGAAGTTTCTAGGACTGTAAAGAGGGCTGTCCTTTCTGCTAAATCCTGAAAATGAGGAAATGTTATAATTTTTTGTACCAGAACCCAGAGGAGGATTTGCATTTAAGGAAAGAAAATAGCCTTGGTGTTTGGATGTGCACTGCCAAATCAGAGGAATGACACAGTGGGCAAGAGATAGGTGTAGATTTTTCTCAATAGGGAAGGAAAAAAGAAAATATCACATAAGAGTATTACCAAGAAGTAAGGGATGAGGAAGAAGAAGAACAGGACTACTATCCCTGACACGCCTGATAACTGTGTGCCTTCAGCCCACACCAGGAGAGATACACAATGATTGTGACAGTCTTGCTCTGATGGAAACTGGTGATGTACTGAGCATATGGTTTCCTAACAGCACAGGGAGCTGGAATGCTCTGTGAAAGGCAGATTTAATCTCTCAGCTGTCTCTCAATGTCCATCAAACACCCAAAGATCTTGGCTTCTTCCTCCACATGAGAAATAATGGGACAGTCAAATAACATGTCCAGATGGCTCAAACCAAGTATATCAAGACAACAGGTTTCCAATTTTAAATACTATCTCTGCTGCTGATCTTACTGCCAACACATTCACACTGTACTGTAACATGCATTTACTGTTTTATAGGTCCCACAAGTATGCTAAAGGTCCCACAGAAAATAAACCCTCACCCAAGGAGAATAAACTCCTAGAATGGCCAAAGAAAACAGAACTTCTAGAAGAGAGAGTTCTGACACTATAAATCTGTGCCTCACTGACAGAGAAAAGGAACTGCCAGAGCATTTACATGACATGAGTATAAAGCAGTTGACCCTTATACACATATGGGTTACTCATCCCTGTTAAAGTGCAGTGCTGTGCCAAAAAACAGCAATGACAGAGAGCACTACAATAGCACCAAACTGCTTTGGATCCAAACAAAATAGTTCAGCATGCTGAACATGAAGGGCTACAACAGGTGCTACTCGAGGACAAATATTTTGCCAGCCAAAACCTACAATAGAGAGTGAGCAAACATGGTAGGATTTATGTCAGTGAGAATGCCTGCTTCTGCTTTCCAGTATCACTTGGAAAGGGGAGTACATGTCCCCAGTGCTGTGACCATCAATAATCTTGACATGAGCCCTTGCAGGTTCATTTCTGTTGAAGCAGGACACACTGTTATAAGTACAATAAAGACTCCAAAAAATAGCATAAAGAATAGGTAGTTCACCTCTGATCCATGGGGAGCAAGACAACAACAGAGGGAATGGAAGAAATGCCCTCTTCCAGCATCCACACAGGACTGCATGTGGGGCCAAGGAGACAATACATTAATACAAGGTGAGACTAAATGAACATCACATCAGTGCCCTGAACCTTCCAGTGGTTTTCACATTCTCAAAGCCAGATCAGTATTCCAATCATACTGAGATGGTTTCTTCATAGATTCAGCAGGACAGGCTGCCCCTTTGGCAACAGGGCTGGCAAAACACAGGGGAAAGCACAGGCTGGCCTAAAATAAAACAATTTGTTCAAGAGGAGGAAAGCATGTTATCGTGTACTTTGGGAGGTGTGGCTCAGCCAGACTGAGAACGATTACGGAGCACACAGCTATGCCAAGTTAGCTTTAAAGCCTTCTCACCATAAACAAGGCAGAGAGTGGACAAAAGAAACAGGTTTCTTCATAAACCTGGGAAAAATAATGAACAGAATTTTCTGAACACACTGTGAGCTACATGGCAGAGTATTGTACAAGGAAATAGTAAAGCCAGGAATTCCAGAGATGAAAAGGAACAATACCCAAGTGGATCTCAACTTTAATAGTGCCAGAATCTTACTTCATTTTTGCACTTTTAGGGAAGGATTACAACATTAAAAAGTCACCACGTGACCACAGGAAACTACTGTCAATAAAAATCTTCATTTGGAACTCACTATTCCAAGTAAGCCAATATATTAAGACTACCCAGATCATTCCAAGGATGAAATTACTTTTGTGATCTTCCCTGTAGTATTAAAATTAGACTAAGAAACATCCAGCAAACACATTCTAATCAGCAAGACTTTCCTATCAAGAGGAAAGGCCTACTATTTACTTCCTGTGGGTTGTTTTGCAATAAGCTTTTATGTTAAATTCCTGCCCTTGTTAAATACACTGTAAAAGTCAAATAGATCCACGCATTTACTGGTTTTGACCAGTGCAACGGCAACATCAAATCAGAGGGCTGAGAGACAATTCCTCTAGGCAAGATAGATGAAATAAAGTTGCAAGACTCTTATTAAAAAAATATTTCTTTTGCAAATAGATTCATGAACCACATGATGAAAATCACCTCAGTTGGCTTTCCAACCTGAACAGACTGTACAGTAATAGAAAGAACAGATGTTTCAATGGGAACTTCATGTTTTCACTGTCATAACATCTTAGAAACACAAGATCTAACAAGCAGCACTAAAAGGCTGGCAATAAGGTGCTTCTAAATACCTGGGGTTTAAAAGGAATGACAGAATTAACAAAGCATTTCACTGCTGAAGAAAACTAATCCACAGACATGGAAGAACCTCCGTGTCTACATCCAAAGGGGCGTTTTGGGCCATTTCTCATCACTTTTTTCATCATAACTTGTAGGAACATGTGGAATCAGCTCTGCTCTTCTCAAAACTCCTGACCATGGCTCGTTGGAACACCAGCCTAGGTGTGCAAGGCCTGATTTTGTTAGCAGCTGGCAAAACCCCCAGAGAAACTCCTAGATTGTGGATGACATAATTTATCCTGAAGGATTAAGTCGAGGCAGGAGTTTGCAAATTTTCACTCTCCTTGCCAAAAACTACAATGTCCTTAGAGAACGAAAAACTACTAAATTCCTATCGTGAGGTGGGATCAACAGGCTTGGGGTCCATGCGATGGGGAGAAGACAGGAGGGAGAGTGGCTAGGTCGGTACGAACATCGCTGCTGAGTGCGGAGGGGACCGCGGGGCTGGCAGTGCCGAGAGCCCCTGCGGGCAGGGGACAGATGCTGCTGCCAGGCGATGGGGCCAGGGACAGGACTGGCAGTGAGATCCTCCCGCCGCCTTCGCTGCCGAGTCGGGGCGCTTCCCCGACGGTCACTTAGAACAGGAGCAAAGATGTGCGACGGGCAGGGGCGGCACGGGAGGGCTCTACCAGCCACCTTGGGACCCGCTTTCCTACGTTACCAACCCCCGCCCGGTACTCACAGCGGGGCCGTCGGCCGTGGTGTAGCGGACGATGATCTGGAAGGGCTGATGTGGCTGGAGGGCGGCGGGCAGGGAGATAGTGAGGGAAGAGCCGTAGTCGGTGAAGGGGTCCACCCTGAAGCCGACTGGGCAGGCGGAGCTGGGCGGCTGGGCGAAGAGGGGCAGCGGCGGCGGCGGCTCGACAGCGGGCGGGGGGCCGGCGGGCGGGTCCCCCGGGGGGGCGGCGGGGGGCAGCGGTCCGGCGGCGATGCAGGGCGCCGAGAGGAAGGTGGCGGTGGCGGGCGGGCTGGCGGCACAGGGCGGCGCGCAGGGCGGCGGCGGCGGCGGGCAGGGCGGCGGGGGCGGCGGGGCCGGGGCGGCGGCGGCCTCGGCGGGCGAGAAGGCGAAGGCGCAGGGCGCTTCCCCGGCCGCGGCACGGCGGAACGCGGCCGAGAGGACGCGCAGCGCCGGGTGCACGTCCAGCACCAGGGCGCGCGGCTGCGGGCGCAGCGCGCAGAGCTCCAGCACCAAGCAGCCCGCCAGCGCCCGCGCCTCGGGCCGCAGCTCCAGCCCCAGGTGCAGGTGCCTCAGGCTGAAGAGCTGTGAGCTGGACGCCGACGCCACGTCCGGCGGCGGCTCGGGAGGCGGCGGCGGGGCCGGCGGCGCCTCCGGCCCGGCCGCGGAGCCCTTGCGGCAGCAGCACAGGCCGGGCGGCCGTGGAGCCGGAGCCGCCATGGAGCGGCGGCGGAGAAGGAGGAGGAGGAGGCGGCGGCGGAGGCGGCGGCTGCTATGTGAAATCCATGGGCGGGCGGGGAGGAGGGAGGCCCCGGCGGCCGGAGCGGCCGGGGCGGGGAGGGGGAGGCGGAAAGGACCGGCCGAGGGAGCGCAGGGCCCGGGCCCAGACAACAGCGGCGGGCGCGGCCGCCGGGGGGCGCCGCGGGGCGCTCGAGGGCGGCCCCGCCCCGCCCGCTGCGCGCGCACCCACCCCGGCCCCGCCCCGCGGCGCCTCAGGCCGGCCCGGGAACAACTGGACACAGGGCCGGAACCGGGACAGCCCCGGACATTGGCACCGCCCCCGGGAGAGCAGCGTTCCCTTGTGCATTTACTCATTTCTTCACCCGTTCGTTCCTTCACTCACAGGCGTGGGTATCCGCGCGTGCCGCCCTGCGCGCCCCTTTCACAGGGCAGTTTTAACTGGCCCACGCAGAGCTTCGCTCCTCTCCTCACAGCCCAGCCCCGGTGCCTGGCCTGGGGCTGGCCATTGGCACCGCCACAATAGCCCGCTCGGATCCCTCCTGTCCCCACCGTACCGCCTGAATTCTTCACTTTCACCGTCCCCGCCCCAGCTCCACCACAAACACCCCCAAACCCTCCACACTGCACGGTTCCCAGCAGGGCTGATTCTTGCACCCTCATCCCACCAGTACCTTAGTTTGGCTTCCTCCTGGTCACACCCCCACATCGAGCTCACAGCTAACCCTAAATAGCCTCCCTTCTCCCTGCACCCCTTACACCCCCGGTTTTTTAATCCCTTCTCTCCCAGCTGGGCTGCCCGTAGTTTACTGCCTCCATCTCTCACTGCGAACTGGTCTCAGAGCCCAGCTCAGACATAATGTCTTTCCTCTTCCCCAGAACTCGAGGCAATCAATCCCACACCCTCTACTGCTACCTTCCTAGATGGGAAAGGACAGAAACCACAAAATTATCAGCTTTGTACAAGCACTTGTTTCTCTGCATGGCAACAGTAGGAGTCAGCAAGCTGGAAGGAAGAAGATTTGTGCAAGTAACTGTGATTTGCACTCCCCCCCAGCCCAAGAGAAGTGCAGTCTCTGCCCCATGTAATGACAATTCTGTAAGTTATTTTCACTCTAATTTTCATTGTTATGCTTTGCCTACCTCACTGCCTGATGAGGCTCCAAGGCACATATTTTGGACAAGACAGGAACATTTCTCACATGGTTGTGGGTTTAATGAATCTGTAGTGGTACATTCTGAAAGCCTCCCCAGCCTTACACTAACAACTGCAGCATTTGCACCAAATTCCATCTCAGTTTCCACTGTATCGTCACACCAGAGGCACAAACTGTGGCCTCAGCACATTGTGGCTGCGGTTACCGGCTCAACCAAGAGTTAAAGAAACCACAGTATCACCCTCCACCGACCTGAAGCTAAAGAAAACCTTTGTGTAATCACTTATATATAGTAAAACACATGCTACAGTTGCAGTAAAAAATAACAAGATAGGACTCAGGCTAGTTGGTTGCTGCGTACAGCAGACTGCACTTTCTCAGTGTTCTTTTTGAAGCACTTTCATAGAGAAATTTTGCCTTTGCAATAAATCCCCTTATAACTAAGAAAAACACTCCATCCTGCCATTGTTGCTGTACACATCCTCCTTTAATAAATCAAATGTTCTGCTTTTATCCTTCTGACACCTTTTCTCACTCATACCTTTCAAAAAAATTTAGCTTCCTCCAATTTTGTTTCTACTGATGCGCATGTCTGTATGACCCAGCTTTCAGGTACAGGTGATGGGCAAAGCACCTCAGGATCTGACCCTGCACAACCTTCACTACAGGTAAGAGTAACATGTCCTCAGGTGTTCAGTCCAGGACAACTTTAGGGCCCGAGTTTACCAATGTAACTGCATGTTAACTCCAGGGTAATTTTAGAAGAATCCTACCTGTGCTTTTGTTGAAGTCCCAAGCAAGTGCAGTGTGTCCACTCATCAGACAGATGAGATGAGCAGGACCACATTCTCTTGAAGAGGCTCTAAGCTTTTGATAATGAATCAGGATCAGCTGCACTCACTGTGTTTGGACAGAATAAACAAAACTGACGTAATGGAAATTCCAGAGAACAATACAATAAGCATTTATCCCAAGCAAATCTCTCTCCTCTTGCACACCTGCTGGTCTTGAGCCACAGCCTTTGCTGTAAGATGTGGTTTTGGCTGGGCTAGAGTGAATTTTCTTTACAGTAGCTGGTATTGGGCTGTGTTTGGGGCTGGTGCTGAAAGCAGTGTTGATAATTCAGGGATGTTGTACAGCTGTTGCTGAGCAGGGCTTGCACAGAGCCAAGGACATTTCTGTTCCTCAAATGACCAGCAAGGAGGCTGAAAGTGCCCAAGGAGATGGGAGTGGACACAGCAGGGACAGCTGACCCAATTGACCACAGAGATTTTCCAGACCATATGGCATTATAAAAGCTGGAGAGGAAGGAGGGGACATTCAGAATGATGGTGCTTATTTTCCCAAGTCACCATTACAGCAGTGGAGCCCTGCTCTCGTGGAGAAGTGGGGAATGAATACCTTGTTTTGCTTCACTTGTGTGGCTTCTGCTTTCCCTATTAAACTGTCTTGGCCTTAACTCCCAAGTTTTCTAGCTTTTACTCTTTCAATTCTCTCCCCCATCCCCCAGGACTGTGTGGGGCTTAGTTGCCAGCTGATATTAAACCAGAATAGAAGCATGTGATATCTCCATGGCATTTTCAGTAGGATCTCTTTAAGGAAAGTCTCTGTCCCAATCCCAGTGTCTTATTCTATTCCTCATAGGATGAGGTCTTCTCTGGATATTACACTATAAATTCTAAAGCAGAATCCAACTCTTGAACATTCCAATCATCATCATCAACCTGTTTCAGAATGCTCCAAAGATACAGATACTTCAGTCCCATTTGTAAATATTAATGTTTCTTCCCTACACTTCAGTGACAGAGCCCTTAGCCAGGCCTCAGCTTGTTCCTGGGTTCAGGAGCATCCTGATGAAAGCCAGTAAAAACATTACAGCTACCCCTGTGAGCAGCAATACTTCAGTACACCTGTGAGACAAGTGCCAAATGAAGCACAGAAGTGATCACAACAGAAAGAACGTTTCCTTCTGTCAGTCTCTGTCTTTAATTCCAAAGTAGCAGTGCTGCAGCCAAGGTTTAACAAAATGGTTGAGCTAATCCCTGCTGTTCACAGGTGACTGTTCACCTGCTCCATCACAGACCCTTGTTTGACACCTTGCTGAGCTGTTTCAGCTGACCAAAGCTGCAGCAAAGATTCAACTCTTTAAGAGAGTGTAATTGGGAAGCAGCAGTTGGGGGCAGTGAATGCTGAGCACTTCTGTCTCACACCTATGCTACTGTTACTTTTCAGCACCTACTGAAAAGAGCAGCCCCACTTCACCTCCCTTCCTGTGAGTGGTGCCTTCCTGTCTCCTCAGCATTCCTGCTTTCTGCAAGTTAGCTTTCTGAACTGGACCACACAAGAGCCACTGCTGGCATCGGGAAGGGAAGAGGAAGTCCCAGCCTGGAAGAAGAAGGAGGACAAGATCAGGATGGCTCCCCTTTTGCCCAGACTGTCATTAGCTCAGCATTAGCTGCAAAGTCAAGTCACACACTGACCCCAGCAGCACAGAGAACCAGGTACATTAGCCCATTTTCTTCAAGGGAAATATTGAAGTCCATGGGGTAAACTCCAGGCCTGTGAGCAGGTTAAGGTCTATGCCAGTTAATTCTTGCTTTGGACAAGAGTTAAGAACAATCCCAACAATGCTTTTTGTGCTACTTCAAGCTACAGTGCAAGCTCTGTTAATGCCACAATTTGCCTGTGGTGGTACTGGTAGGTAGAAAAGCTTCTTTGTGACTTTGCAGTCATGTCACTCTATAAACTGTAGTGCTTTCAGGTAAAGAAAATGGAAAATATGAGCCTAAGGAAGTTTTCCACCTGACTTCAGCCCTTCTACTTGTCTTGAATACTTACACTATAAATTATTACTCCCTGTACTACTCAACATAGATGTATTGCAAGCTACTCTCATGCTGGAGGGCACAAAAATTACCCACTACACTTTTAAAAAAAACATCTTTACTCTGAAGATAGATCAGACGGCAGTGCATGACAAGAGGGGAAAAAAAAAAAAAAAAGACCCAAGGCCTGCAAACCTGTTCCCCAGGGTTCAAAAAAGTGCAAAGTTCTTTATGTGCCCAAAACAAACCACTTAAGCCAAAAAAATTTACAAAACCCAAAATAATTTTATTTACTTTTTAGATTTCTGCCTCAATGAGACATTTTGCAAACATGCTAAGGCTACAAAATGTCCAAGTTGACAAAGACATGCAACGCTGACCATTCAATAAGTCACGGCTATCACAGGAGCAACTGTGTCCCCCGGGCCACAGGTCCCAAAAAACAGGGATGGTGTACAGTGATCATGGCAACGCACTACGCAGGACCCAGTAACCTGAGGTAGGTCATTTACAGTAAGAAAACCATGTCCTACACCAGTGTTACATCCTGATCAACAGGAACCTCTTTAAGGTTCTGAAGATGTGGGGTCAAGGACTGCTTCCTTAACAAGTGTGCAAGAAAGAAACCGGAAATATCAATGTTGATTAATCTTAGTATTAAGTGAGCAGAACAAAGAGTTAGTGTTACCCATGCCAGTGAAAGCCAACCTAAACCTCGAGGACTGTTAGCAGCTTCAAGATAAAGTGTCAGTCAGCTAAAGCAACTCTGAAAAGGCTTTCCTGCCAGCATACAGGGTATGATTTGAACCTTATGATTAATTTGTTACAGATCATTCCACAAACAGTAAGATTTTGGTTGTGTTAGATCAGCGAAGCAGGAAGAGCTTGGGCTTGCTTGCATTAAACTCTGATACAGTAAGAAATACTGTGTCAGGACACTGAGAAAATACAAGGCCTTAATGTGACCCAGGAGTGGTTCTCCACTCGGATCACTAAAAACCCTGCTTTGGAAAAGCATCATGGGAAGCAGCAGCTGCTGCCGTGGTGAACATTAGCGATGCCCCAAATAGCTTTGATAAATTACAATGCAATAGTTACACCACAGAGCTCTTCTCTGCTGCGCTAGACAAAGATGTGACAATAAAGGACACTATTGCAAAGCTTCACTTCCACTCAGACACACAGAAAATCCGGCACTAAGAAAAGACGAACTGTAAAAGACAAAACATTGTCTGATACAGTTCAATAAAGCCAGATCTCTGGTACCATAAACTGTACAAAAATGATAGAAAAGAATATGCACTGTTATTAATACAGTGCTTATTTTAATATAAAATAAACAGCTTACATTTCCACTGTAAATATAGGCTATATACAGAATTATGTATAGATATAGCTACATGTATAAAGCTTCATTATAGGCCTCTGATACATTTATAACTATGGCTCCCTGAGCCATTGTAGAGTGCATTTAATAACAAAAAATTAGTAATATGGAATAAATACAATAATAAAAACATGAAGAGTTCTTCTGACATGGTTTTAAAAACTCTCTGGCTTGACACGTTGTGCTAAAAATTAAAAGATGAAAAGGCAATAATCTGCGAGGAGGAGGAAGAGCTGGCCTGCCACAGGCAGGGAGCATAGCTCTCCAAAATTAAAGTGACTTTGCCCTGAATTTCAGCCCTTGACAGCAACCTTGTTCTCTGCAGCAGCAAACATAGCATAGAAGCGCGAGTTCTCATTGGCCAGAAGGGCAGTCGGGGTGTCGAATTCCACTACCTGAAACCAAACAAGGCAGGTAAAGTATGTCAGTAAAATTCAGCAGAGAATTGACTCCCACCCCTTGAACTTGTGATGTGATGGCAAAGAATAGAAAACACCACATTCATCTTTAGATGAAACACCAGGCAGTGAAAGTACCTGCATTTATGGATACTGTAACCTGGAATGCTTCAAACTGGCTCAAGAAGTGGAACTAGCCCAACAAGAAGCAACCCCTGGAGGTTCTGGCAGAGGCAGATGCTATGGGCTTTTGCCTTCTCTACCTTAAAAAGCCTTGCCCAATGTTCTTGTATTTAACTGGTTAGGGCTCCCAAATGGAAGCCTGAAAAATAGGTGAAGTATCTGTCACAGGTGTGCTTGATGGCACAGGGCTTTATGAAAGTAATGGAAAACTGCCACTGAGCCCCAGCAGAGATGTTTATGTTAGTACCTATCTCAGAATTAACCTACAAAGAAAACTCCAAGACGATTTTTAAAGACTGACTTATTCCATGGTACTTTCTTGGTGTGAAAAAAATTTTTTGCCATCTATGATCTTGTCACAGGCAGCAACTGATTCTTTTGGACTATTATCACTGAGGATATGAATGAACACAGAGGATTTTCTATCCTGCAGTGCAGCTGCTCCCTCAGTTCAGTCTGCACACATGGCACCACCAGACCAGAGGCAGAGATGCCTCCCTGCTCACCTGTCCCTGTGTTAGCACCATGATCCGATCACAGCCCAGGACTGTGTGCAGGCGATGAGCAATTGTTAGCATAGTGCAGTCTGCAAAAGCCTCTCTGATGGTCTCCTGGATCAGTAAGTCTGTCTCCGTGTCCATAGCAGCTGTTGCTTCATCCAGGATCAATATCTGAAAGCAGCACAGAATCCTGGCTGTTACTCATGGTCACACCTTCCCTCCCTGAATATAAAAATACATACAGTGGGCAGAATGGCCACAACCAAGCATTGTCACAACTGGCAATCCTTATGGAGTTGTGGGCACAAATGCAGGTTTTACAAGTACCCTTTCAGTTTTCTTTATGTAATTGCCTTCAACAAAGCCTATGGATGACACTTATATTTTATGGTCACATCCTAGAGCTACATGTGGCTTATGACCCAGGCCTCAAGTTTCCAATACTTTCAATCTTATATTCAGTAGATGAATCTCAAATTTTACAAATTTTACCAGTAAACTAACTTGACACATCCCTGGTGATGACATTCCTCCTGAAATGAGTCAATACTGACTAGGCTTAATAGCTTTCTTACACTGGGTAAAAAGTCTCTTCCCCTCAGACATAAACTGATTTGGAGTGATTTCTTGTCAAAGCTAAACTGGACATGCTTTGTGCAGGTACTGCAGAGACAGCAGTAACTTCTGCTGAGTAGTCCGGCTTTAAAACAGATGCAGACTGAACTTGAAAATATTTTATGTTGCATTTCAGAAAAAAGGTTGTTAAAACCAGAATCCTGGTCCATCTCAATCCAAACATCCTTTCTTCTTATAATTATTGTTTGCATTCCATTCCTGCAAAATCTTTCACTTAGCCAGCATAGCATTAATCCCAAATTCCACTTGGAGACCACATTTTAGTGGAGCACCATGTAGAAGGAAAACCCTTGGCTCATATTCACAAGAAGGTGGAAGAATGGAAGAAACTGATACTTCCCAGTAACAGGACACTAAATAAATAATTAGGCCAGTCTGACACGCTATTGTTAGCACTTGCAAGCAATGCCTTTCCAATGGCAGGACATTAGAGGAGCTGGCTACAGATAACTTCCTGGTTGTTTTGACCTTACATGTCTCTGGGTTGTAATAATCATTGGTGTGATTCCTCTGAGAGACAAAGACAGAACAAATCCAGCACAAGAAAAGGCTTGTTTAGTCTTATTTTGGTAATCTCCAGCTATTTCTCCCCCTGCTGTGCTCACCTTGCAACGACGCAGCAGAGCTCTAGCTATGCACAGTAACTGTCTCTCTCCAACAGAAAAGTTCTCCCCATTTTCCATCACTTCTGAATCAAGTTTCATAGGCAGCTGTGCAATCTGTGTGGGAAAGAAGAGGCAAAAATCTTAGAGCACTGCACAAAATCAGAGAAACAGAAAAAGATCTGACAATCTTTGTCACCAGAAGAGAGTAATCCCTGCAGGAAATCCTGCAGCCTATGTTCCGTATCCGTACCTGCCACCTGACTTACAACAAAAAGCTTTGGAAATGTCATGGCGGTAAGATTTGCTGAAGAGGGCCTTGCAAAGGGCAGGTTTTAAGTTCAGTATGAATTTGCACATGTGACATGTACAGTCACGAATGGAAATGTAGAATGCATACCTAAGGCACATACAGAAAAATGTAATGAAATGTTTTAACACCCTAAGAATCCCTGTGATGAAGCAGCACTCTGCTATGCTCTATACTAAAAAAAACCCCACAGAATATGGCATGCTCCTAAAAAACCCAAAAATATCAGTCTAATAAAATAATGGGGGAAAAAAGATAAAGTCAAATAAAGTAGAGAACAAGGGGAAAAAATGAAGAGAAAAAGCTTAGATAAAGACTTCTAAAGTAGCAACTAACAGATTATGTTGCTTTGGAAGTCAAATGCAAACATGTATCTCCCAGGGCACATAATACTTACACACTCCTTCATATGAGTCCTTTCCAAAGCAGCCCAGATTTGTTCCTCACTGTACTGATTGAAAGGATCCAAGTTTGATCTGGAAGGGGAAGGAGAAAACAAGCAAAATTTTAACTCAGCAATGAATGGCAAACGAGCAGTGTGCTAATTCATCCAGACAGGCAATTCCCATCTAGCCTTCCACTAACAGTCTCCTTGCCAAGGAAATCAGATGCTCCCAGCACACTGAGGTTAGAAGGGCCAAAAAGCAAGAGTAGAGATGGAAGACAAAGATACTAAAACTTCGACCACATCTGAAGGGAAGCACAACTTCCATACAGGATGATCACACCCAGTGCAGCACTGGGCCAGCTAAAGTTATGCATTTGTGGGGCTTTTCTGTTTCAAAACCAGAACAGAAGCTAGGATGCCTGAGAGCTACTACCTCACCAGGCACCCTATAGCATTTCATGTATAAGATGAAAGACTGCTCAGTCCCTTCTTGCCTTCTTATGGTCTTACTAACCTCACAGTGCCACTGAACAGCACAGGTTCCTGAGGGATTATGGAGAGTTTGCTCCGAAGATCTGCCAAGCCAATGTCATTTATTTTCACACCATCAATTTTAATGCAGCCTCCAGACAATTCAACAAGACGAAAGAGTGCCATTCCAAGGGAAGACTTCCCTAAAAACGAGACAGGAAAATCAAGACCGGTGTTTCTACAAAATGATAACAGCTTTCAGATGACAAAGCATTTTAAAAGCTGTCCACATCTAAGAAAAGTTTTAAAATAGCAAAAAGTCCTGGTAAGCAATGCTCTGGTAAGTTCTGAGGTTGAGCATTTAAACTTCTGAGCAATTGTGGGGGCAGTTCCTAATCTCTCCTCAAAGAAATCATCCCTGGAGTGCTACCCCAACCCCACTGCCAAAACCCTGCCATGAAAATCCAATACAAAAATATAAACTACTTATTTAGTAACTCATTTTGAGGTTGATTTAAGCCATCTCACAATCAGGGGTTTGGATTCTTCTCACTACAGAGTTCTGATATGGCTGAGAGCCAAACCTGGCTGCAACAACAGTACAGAATCTTTCAAAAGTTAGACAAGTTGTAACGAGCACATTGTAGGCACCAATCTGTGCTGGTCAGTGGTTTAGGGAGTTAAATATGATCAACATACTGGCTCAAGCATAGTAGGATATCCCTCTGCTCTACATGGAAACTTGTTTTCACTACTGTTTACAGGGATCTTGCTTACATATGGATATGAATGGAAACCTCCAGGGACAGAGTGCTCAACCCCTCCTGTGTAACCAACTTACTCAAACACAGAGGAGAACTAATATGACTGCCCCAATCTATTCTGTAAAAGTAATAATTTAACTCTGCTTAGTGTTTTTTCTTACCTGAGCCTGTCCTCCCCACAATGCCAATCTTTTCCTTCGGTTTGATGGTAAAGGACACTTTTTTAAGTACTAGAGGAAGGTTCTCTCGATACCGCATCTCTGCATTTTCAAACACGACTTCACCTTCCTGTGGCCAGTCCAGAGGAGGAGTTTTATTCTTAATTCGAGCAGGAGCTTCTAGGGAAAGTGTCTTTTAACAGAAATACAGAAGTTCAGTTTCCAGTAAGCAAAGCACCAAAGGAAAATTATCAGCTGCAACTTTCAGCAGTTCTTCCCTGCAGACTCAGCCCAGATCATTTATGGCAGTTTCATGATAAGCTGCTTGGCTGGATGTGGGCCCAGTGGTCCAGAAGTTTGCAGTATTACACTGACCACACTGCTAATTCCCCTCCTGTTGCCTCAGTAATGACATCAATCCCTCTATACAACAGTGGGGTTTTTTGCTACGAATATCAACTACTAAATAGCCCAGATTTACCAAATAAATATGTATATATCCCTCTGAGGTTCACAGGGAACTTTAAATGGAAAAGCCTTTCACCTCACACACCAGACCCAGTAGGAGGCTTTCTCCTGGCTACACCTCCCCACTGACCTATGCCCAGTTCTGCATACACAAATCCCAGTTACAAAGCAAGGGTTACAGATAATCAGCAGCTTGCTAAGCATTTAGCCTGGCACATTTATCATGTTCAGCTGAGCACATTTCTCCTGTTTGCAGTATGAACATTCCCTTGACTTTTCAAGCATGTAGAAATATGTTATGTAAAACAGCTGTAGAAAAGTAGGCTTATTAGGATGAAGTGGAATTACTTGTAGATAAAGTAGCAAACAGTTATCTGTGTTTAAATGAAGGAATTCCATTAGGTTTGGAATAAAGGATGCCAGTACACCATCCTTTTACTGTAAAATAATGTTTTGAATCCCCAAGTTACTCCTTTCACACACTCCACTCTTTATTGCGAGTCTCAGCAAACTTCCAGTGGCCTTATGTAAATCCAGCTATGTCTCCAAGTTTCGTTACCTGCCAGCTCTGGGGCCATTCAGCTCCCCAGTGCTGACACATGTTTCACAAAACAAACTCACTGTGCAGTGCTACAGCACAGGCTTTAGTGCCTTTCCAAGATGAGGAACAGACATTCTGTACTACAGCAGACTATGGCTGAGGCCAGCAATGTAACAAGCAACACAAAATTTCACAACAGGCAGTTGAATGCATTACAGTCCTACCTTGATATAGTGGTCAATCCTCTCCACTGAGGTGAAACGAGCTTCTGTCTCTGAAGCCAGTCTGACTGTAAACTGGAATAACCCTGTTAACTGAAGTGGTGAAAAGAAATCAAGTTTTTAGAACTGTGACTTGTTATTTTAATCAAGAGATTAATGTGGCCAGCAGGATCAGGGCAATGAGTGTACTTGGGAATTGTGAGCTCACACCTCAAACCCTGTGCTCAGTTTTAGGCCCCCCACTACAACACAGATACTGAGGTGCTGGAGCATATCCAGAGAAGGGCAACAGAACTGGGGAAGGGTCTGGAATCCTGTAAGAACAACTGAGAGAGGTAGTGGGGGGCTCAGCCTGGAGAAGAGGAAGCTCATGGGGGACTTTGTCACTTTCTACAACTCCCTGAAAGGAGGGTGTAGCCAGCTGGGGTTTGTTCTCCCACTTAACAAGCAACAGGACAAGAGGAAACAATTTCAAATTGTGCCAGGGGAGGTTTAGATTGGATGTTAGGAACATTTTTTCAGGAAAAGAGCTGCCAAGTACTGAAATAAATTGCCCAGGGGTATGGTAGAATCACCAATCCTGGAGGTACTTAAAAGTCGTGTAGATGTGGCACGTGGGCACATGGTTTAGTGGTGGGTTTTGCATTGCTGAGGTGATAGTTTGACTCAATGACTCAATTACTGGTGTTTCCAACCTAAAAACTTCTATATTTGATACTCTTGACATTGGGCACCATATAACTAAAGTGTTCAAGGCAAATTAATTAAATAGTCCATTTTAAAATCACCATAATTTATTAATCCCTTGACAAACCAGCAGCTTAGAAATGTTCTCAAGAGCAACAGCTTTTAAGTATGAGGTGTCTAAGCTCTTTAATTTCACCTCGCCACCACAAGGAGGCAGAAGAAGGCAAACAGCAGCTCCACTGAACCGGCGCTGGATGCTATTTGGTCATTAGCAACAGCTACATTAAAAAAGAAATTAAGTACTACAGTATGTGGTCACACTCACCTGCACAGCATATGAGATGGCCAGCCCAGCATAGGCAGGAGGGATCTGGCCATGCATCAAGACAATCATAAGGCCAGTGGTTGTGATCAGAGCAATGCTGATGATGTCCAGGCGCACAGCCAGCCAGCGCATTGCACAGCTGAAAAGGTAAAACGGGGCCTGGTTGTCATCCAGCAGCTCCTGGTACCTGAAACAAACACAGCGAAGGTTAGTAGACTCCATGAGCCTGATGTTCTACAAATATCAGACCTAATTAAACCCCTGTTCCAGTATCAGGCTTCAGGGTGGGAAGACTCATTAGTGACCAAATTTCAAACCAAAACGTGATGGCAGGGTTTGCAAGCTTTTCCCACCACTGCTCTTCCCAGTTTTCCCTTACCCTTCCTTCTGTTCTCCCCAATTTTTTTCCCCCACAAAATAAACTTTCAGTCATAGAACCAATGACCTATCAGACCCCAGTAATAAATCCTTCTAAGTGCCGGAAGCTGTTGCATTCAGCTTCATGCTCCACCATTCCCAGATGAATATCTGGACTGACCTGTGCAGAAATTCCTGTCCTTTGTGGTAGGCATGGATTGTGGAGAGACCCTGGATACTAGATGTAATATGAGACAAGAATGGAGACTGTGTGATGTTGTCTAGACGCTTGAGCTCTCGGATAAAGACTCTGTAAGGAAAGAAGCACTTGGAGTTTCATACAGAACCACCATATGCCAACCACTATGTTGTACTTGAAGGTGAAAGGATCTGTACTTTTAGCCAAGGCAGCTGGTACACTTACCTAGACACAACATGCAGAACTGTGAACAGGACAATGAGGGGCCCCACTGCCACCAGGAACCAGGGGAAAACCCCAGAAATCACTCCCACACAGAAGAACACAAGGATGACGTTCTGGATGAACATTTCTGCTTGAAATGGCAAACGAACGTCAACTGGCAAAATGGAAGGAAAAGAAGAAGATCTTGAGTACAGAAAACTAGAACAACCTTATAGAAATCAACTCAGTCCAGCTGTACATCAGTAACAGAGAAATCACTCTTTAAGTTTATTCATATTAAAAATGTACATTTTCATCGAGATGCTTTTACCGTCTAAGCTTCTGGTAGTCTAATTATTCCCATTTGCAGAAATGGAACTCTGACCACATCTGATTGTGCACCTCTGCTGCACATCAGCCTCACTCCAATGTTTTAAGTTGCTTCTGCATAAACTGCTGAGAGCCCATGTGCAGCCTGGAGGTACAACAGCAGCGGCACATTTCCTTCTTTGTAAGTGAATGATCAGACCTGAGCTATCAGCTGCCTTCTAGAATCATAGCCCAGGTATATCCCAAGTCCTGCTTTGTTTATTGCAAGTGCACATTTGGCAACAGACACAGGGTACAATCACCCCAACAGCAACAGACTGCAGAGGATTCAGAAATTAACTGGGAGGTGTGAATGTGGGATTTACAGGGCACACAGTGAGAGATACCTTCATCCATGTCTTTGGAAAACCTGTTGAGGATCCTCCCAGTGGGGGTAGTGTCAAAGAACTTCATGGGGCTACGCAGAATCCGTCGGAAGAGTTCATCATGGAGCCTTGAGGATGCTCTGAGAGTTCCCTGACAATGCAGAAAACAGTGCAGGGTTATAAAGCAGTGTCTGCCTTCCTGCCACTGCTTCTCCTCTGGCACCCAAATATTCTACTCCATTTCTCTCTCCATCCATAAGAGGTTTTTTACTGCATTCTGTGCTTCCAACCAATGGAAGAAGCTATTAATTTGGGCAGAAGTTTAGCAGAAACATGGTGCAGCTTCAAGAGCTGGCTATGGAAATACTACAATCCATGACTGACTCTGGTTAAAATGTCTCTCTTGGGAGATGACCAAAAGAACCACAGTGACAGCAATTTCCAGAAGTAGGAGGAGGGGGAGACAAACACCAGCACTGGCACATACCTTTACAAAGACCACACCACGAACAGCTTTCAGGATCAACATAACTGCCATAGACAGTGCATAGATGCCAGCATAGTAATGCATGTGAGGGTTATCTTTCATACTGTTGCTTATGACAGTCTCATTTCCCAAAGTCACAGTGGTGTTCTGCAGAAAATTCAAGGTTTCAGAGGTTGGTTAAGACAAGGATGAAGCATGTATACATTACATGTGGTAGAATTTAGCTGTCTTGTGTCTTCTCCCATTATATTTGATATTTCTTCTTTAAAGTACTTCAGTGACCATTGAATACTTCAGAAACTCTTCCCTGGCAGAGATGCTTGACTTGTAGATTTGTAGCCCTTGATCTTTTTCCTTTTTGCCATAATGCCTATTTCATTTGATTTCTAATCTCTCATTTCATGCTTATTTCCTGTGTTCCTCTGAACAACGTCAGATACCTGCATACTGCCACAGAGTCATATTCACCTTGGATAGATCTCTTTATCAAACACTGTTGTTATGTCTGCCACTATAAAATAATTTCTCTACTGTTACACATTCTCACGCTCTCTTTTATTTTTGATCTTTAAGTATGTTTAAGGACCTCACTGCTGATTCTAGTATTGTTGGCCATCTGCACTTCATTATTTCATCTGAGATTAGCAGCTTGCTCTCAGTGCCCCTACAAAAAACTCTTGCAGTTATATTTGAATTTTTAAATGCAACAAGACTTGCAGTCAAAGCCCTGAGAGTAAGAAAAAGCCCAAACCACCCCAGGTCATCAGAATCTTCAAAGCAATTTCCAGAAGTCATTTGACTCAAAGCCATATTTTAACAAAAATTATCCTATTAAGTATAAGATTACATTTAAACAAAAAACAACACTAAAATTAGCTTGTTGGCCCCTTTCATATTTTCACTTCCTTTTCTTAGGCTAACCAAGAAAAGGAATAAGAGGGCAGCAGTAAACCACATAAGTGATTATATCTTTCTTATTATTGGAGCTCCCTTATTCTTGGAGATGAACTCCCTAGTGAGACCATCTCCTGAGGAGCATTACAACTTATTTCAATTAGGAAGCACCATTTGGTCTCACAAGACTGCTTGGGATTAGTCTAGCAGAGCAAACCTCCAGCCCATTAGACACAACAGTAGAAAGGCTATTTAACTTACTCCACTGCCTTGCTTGATCCAAAAACTCAGCCACCAGTTGCTAAAAGCTGTGCTGCCCACATTCAGCACAAACAGTGCCATGATGATGAGGAATGCAAAGGGGCCTCCAGCTGCCTGAATGTAGACACCATAAACAGACCAGGGCACAGAGCCTTTGCCTTTCTCTTCCAACTGGACCAACTGGCCTGTGAAACAGGATGAAGAGGGGATGAGGAAAATAAAGCTCTTGCATGAAACTCCCATAAATTTGTGAACATACAGAAAACTAGTCTTTTAAACAGTGCAGAGTACTTTCAGAAACACACACTTCACGCTGAGAACTCAGTGGTTCAAACAGTTTTTCAAGAAGTCGCATTTCTTCTGCAGAATCATTTAAGTCATGGTACAGCTAAAACGCCTCATCAGCACAGACTTAAATGTTAGGCTGGGATTAACCTCACTATTGCTTTTTAAGCCCTGAAGTTCAAAGCTAACATTAAACAGAACTACAGAGGTCAGAGCTTCCCTTCATCCATAAATGCCATGTCCTGCCCAGGACTGAGTGCCAAGCTGTACACATGGCCCTCTTAGGACAAGAGGGAGAGGTGGTATGGGACACAAGGCAGTATCAGTTCCTTTGTGCTGATGGCATCTGACCAACAGGATAAAAACATTGTACAGACAGCTGTATTTAATGAATTAATGAATGTTTTTTGCCCACTGCCTGCATACTATCAACCACACTAAGTGATTAGGATGGAGACAGCTTCCAAAACCTGAGAGGTACATTAACAATATACTTTGAAGCACATATTTCAAGCTTATAGGAGTACAAAATAATTACAGCCAGAAATTTGATTACATAGTTACCCTCTTCTTCCTTCTTTACAACTTTCTCCTTCTTCACAGACCCTGTTTTGGTACTTTTATCCTGGGGCCTTTTCAGTGAATTGTTTGTGTTCTTCTTTATATTAATCTACAGGAAAACAATGACACTAAACTTATCAGAGTAGTTGGCTTCAACATTTTCATATCTAAACACAAACATTTTTTAATCTTCCACCTAAGGACAAAGACTTTGAATAGCTCAGCATTCACATCAAGGAGGGTATCAATTTCACAGTTATTACATATGATTGCCAACTCTGGTGGATTAAATTTTCCTCCTCTATTAATCTGAACTACTACCAACTTGTACAAGTAGAGTGCAAGATTAATTTCAGAATCAGTGAAATTATGAGTAGAGGAGTGATATCACTACTACTGCCAGAAAGATAAAATCTCCCTATCCCTTGTAAAAATAACTCAATTTTTTTAAAGAGGCATTTTTTCCCAAGCACCCTAGCACTTAAGAGACATTCCCTGAGAGTTTTCTTAAGAAAAGTCAGGTTAATTTGATATTCTAGAAATCCAATATCCAAACACTGAAGTGCACACTTTTAGTAGAAGCACTGTTCTAAACCCAGCCGCTTCCCATGACTGGGAGTTACTGCCTATTCAGAGTCAGCCTACATGGGCTGAAACCCCTGACACACCATGTTCAGGGTTGCCTTCCCACACTTTACACAAGATCAAACCATGGAGAATCCAACTGATCATCCATTTATTCTTATCCCCTAGGGAATTCAATTGAACAGTACTTCCATGAGCTAATGTTTACAGCAACATTGAAGGTCAGCTAAGCTTGAAGACTGGAGAATCTCTTGTTCATTATATTATCATTATATTAGTCTTAAAACGGCAGAACTATAATCTTCATGGACCAAAGGATATGCAGAGCAATGCATTATATCCTTTTGCTTCTTTCACAAGCATCTCCCAGGAAAATATGTCACCAAGCTCCTTCTATATCTGTAATTCTTATAATGCTTTCTTCTCAGAAATGTTTTGTTTTAAATATCCTGTGAGTAAGGAACCTCTCATCTCTTAAAAAATAAACTGCTGATGTACTTTAATTTTTTTTTAAGGAAAATGCACACAAAATTTAGACAAGTAAGTTATTATAAAGCAAAATGCAAAGATCCTTACTCCAGAGACTGACTGCAGGAAACAAAGAGCAGAAGGGTGGGAAAAATTGAATTGCTGGCAATTTAGTTGTTGCACTGAATGGTTCTTGTTATTTTTCTAGATTTACAATTTTTGTATCAACTGAAATACTTGAACACATATTCAAGCTTGCATTTACAAACTTTGTTATAACAGAATTCATGTCAAGGCAAAACATTTTTTCTCAAACTCCCCCAAAACACAACATCTTCAGTTATGCTTCCAATATACTGTCACATCTAACTTTTGACAAGCTGTGTCACACCTGCTGTGCCTCATTCACACTCCATTGAAAAAGCAGTAACAAGCCAGTAAGAATTTTTTCAGATAAAGGTTGTTGAAGAGCTGTGCTAATTCAGAGGTAAATTATGGAGTGGAGTGTACAATAAGAGAAAAACTTCCTGCTCTGAGCATCAGCAGGGGAGACACTACAATATTTTCATGATTAACCCGTGAGCTCAGTGGCAGAGTGCTCTCTAGCACATATTCCCTAAAAGCAAACTGTGACAAAGTGCTAGTGAAGCACAGATTAGTCTATAGGAAATCTATTGGTCAGATCAATACATGAAAATGTGTGAAGCCATTTTCCAGTTTTCCAATATCACTTGGTTCACCTCAGAATAGTCAAGATTCAGAGCACTTTAAAATAAACATGTACCTCAATATGTGGTGTTTCTCCCAGCTGTAGGCTATTAAAAATAGTTGCATAATCTCCATTTAAATTCATCAGTTCCTCATGACTGCCTCGCTCTGTAATGCAGCCTTCTTTCATGAAGATCACTTCATCACAGTCAACAAGATACTGGAGAAAGTGGCAATAAGAACAAGTCTCTATCACGATGTTCAATAACCAAACACTCCCACACAACCCTTCTCAGCAGCCTGTAGACACTGGCACACAGCACACCTATTCCCACATAACAGACAGCTGATTTTCAGAGATCGTCCTCTGACTGGAGCACCATGATTACTCACACTATACAAATAAAAAGTTTGTGTCCTATCAAAAACAATCTCTTCTGGAAGACATGACTCAAGATATTTAAACACTGCAAATACTGATAGACTAAGCATTAGTATTTCTATGCACAGAAAACAGCAAAAAAATCTCAGGCACATCAATTCTGATTTACTGACACCAAATAAAACTGTTTTCTGCTGTGATGAAATAGCTTTATAGCAAGTTAGCAAAAATATTTTTGAATGGGGTATTTCTTTCTCTGATAAGTTTCCTTTACCCAAGTGTTACCAGTCCCAATCAGATATCAAGTAGCACTGGTATCAAGTAATTAAATTGTGCTCGGTGCGTATTTGCAAACCTAGTTCATAAATGTAAACCACACATTCCAGAAAGACAGGGCTGTCCTGTCATAGGTCAGGGCATAGAAGTTTCCAGTATGAAGGCAACTGATTAACAAACCATTTCAAGAAAGTCCAAGAAAGTATGAGATTCAGTACCTGAAGCTGATGTGTGATAAAAAGGACAGTCTTTGTCTTCAGGTGTTTCCTTATTGCACTGTTAAAAATGTGATTTCCAACATGAGCATCTAAGGCACTAAGGGGGTCATCAAGGATGTAGATGTCCCTGTCACTGTACAGGGCTCGAGCCAGACTGATTCTCTGACGCTGTCCTCCACTCAGGTTAGCCCCTCGTTCACCAATCTGCACAGAGACACACCCACTGTTTCATTTCTTCAGCACCATGCAACACAGACGACCAGAATAAAGCAGACCATAATATTCATTTTTTATATTTATATAAATATACTCCTCCATAACATTTTATATTAATATATAAATATTAATATAAATAAATAACATAAATAAATAAAATTATATTAATACATATATGTATTCAAGTTCAGGTGTCCGCTTTGTGACATGTGTTATACATTCAAACTCAAGGTTAATATGCTTGAAATGTGGCAGTACTTTCTTTGCTAATTTTACCTGTTATGAATTAACATAGCCATTGTTTTTACCAGCTATTTTATATCAAGTTCAATTAGGTCTTGTTAAGGCAGCTAAATTTACAACATAATAAAAAAATCCCCAAAAAGTCAATATCTGAGTAAGAAACAGGGTACAACTCTTAACAGTCCAGGGCCCACTAAGCTCAGCTCAAGAGAGTACATTCAGCAGCTTGTCTCATATGCACCCAGACTGATATATCTTTGCTCCAGTTTACCCTACCAAGTTAAAACTCTCTTCTCCATCTATTAATTAGTTTAGTATAAGCAAAACATACCTCTGTCAGGTCCCCATTTGGAAGGATGGCCAGGTCTGGCCTTAGACAGCAACCATTCAGCACAGTATTGTATCTGAAGCACATGTAAATAAATAGTTAGGAACACCAATTTTCCCCACAATTATTTATCTAGTACAGCATTATATCACTTTCTACACTAATAGCAGATATTCCAGCAACCTAAAACAAATCATCTGCCTTGGATTCCCAGGAGAAAATTGAGGGCAATTAAATTAATCACCTACCTCAGAAGCATTTTGAGTATAAAGAGAATTTGTTTCAGGGATAGTTGGCTAAGGGCCACAGGAAAGTCCCCCACTGGAGAGGAGCCATGAAAGATGTCAGTACATTGCACACAGCAGTTGTGTTTGAAGGGGGCAAGGCCAGGACAGAAAGAGCAAATACCACTTTAGTGCTGCTCACAGGAGCTGCTGGTTTTAACCAGAGGTCCAGGATGAGGCCCAGCCTCACTGCAAGAAGCAGTGACAGACAGTGACAGACAGTGACAGCCACCAGCCACAGGGCCACGTGCAAGAGAGGCAGGATCCTAAATGGGACTTAGAGGACACTTAGAGACAGACTCCAGAAGGGCATAGAGCCTTTATCTAAAGTGTACTCTGCATTAAATTTTTCCCTTGGGCCAAGAATTACCAAGCTTTGATGAAAATCAGCAAGCAGTCTGACAAACCTTTCTTCATCATAGTCCTTGCCAAAAAGGATGTTGTCCCGGAGAGTGGCGTTGAGAATCCAGGCCTGCTGGGCCACGTATGCAAAGGTGCCGCTCACTGCAATGCTCCCCTCCAGCAGGGTCATCTGCAATTACAGACCAGCTGTGAGATTCTGCTACCCCATGGTTACAATAGACTGCTTTCTACAGGGTACAAACAAGTCAAACAGATGGGAAAGAGAAGAGCAGAACTACTCCAAACAGGATTTCTCACCTGTCCTAAAACTGCTGAGATAAGTGAAGTTTTTCCACTCCCCACACTGCCACAAATTCCAACAAGTTTTCCCTATACAGAAAGGAAAAAAATATGGTATTTATTACATTCTTCACCCTTTCAGAAGTCAGACCTTTAGTACCTTTAGTACATATGAGAGGACAGTTGGAGATGAATGACAGCTCTAAAGTGGCATAACAGACAAAAAAAAGCAAGTCAGCATTTTAACATTCAAATTGTATAGAGTGAATACAATACCACAGTGAAATAAAACTGAAATCAACTCTTCAGGTAAAAAAAAGTGTTTGAAGATCAGCTTCCCTCTTCCTAGGGATACAGGCCCAGAGGATCAATATACCAAAAGCACAAAGGCCTGCCTGAACAGAATGCACCAAGATGCTTTTGAGAGTGATAAGGAAAGATATAAAGAGGAAAAGTCTGAAAGAAAAGAGAATTTAGCATATATGGGTCCAGTAAAATTACTTGCCAATTAGATCCAATTTGCTAAAGAACATGTACCAAGAAATCACTAGGATTCAGTCACCTTGAAGAATTTCTTTGCAATAGAATGGGTAGGTTAATACCCACATTAATTAATCAAAACTATTTCTATTCATTTTGTAAAAAATGTAAAGTGAATGAAACAGGTATACAGACACTTGTGGAATACATTGCTGGCCTTCTCTTGATAGCACACTCCTAAGACAAAAACCAGCCTTTACATTTTCAAGTAATTGTACTCCTTTTTGAGGCAATTTTTAAACTATGCCTTCTCCCCCAGAGTTTACAATATAGGTACTTTTACTTTTTAAAATAGTTTAAAACTCTCCCTCTATTTGTGTAACTACATAAGACAATTTAACTATTAATATCTTCAAAGATATATGGATGCCATCATTACAATATCCAACTGCAGACTGATAAGCTTTTGTGTTTATAAATAATGTCATGTATTAAGTTCAGTGCTTTCTCTTTGACATCTTACATGCTTTGACCCACCCTGGAGCAATAGCTCCAAATGCTTCTACAATTCTTCAAGACCTTCATGCTAATGCACAAAAATTCTCAAGGAAGAAAATTGCATATTCTTCAATGAAAAGCACTGTTATGCTCTACTGGAACACGTAACCACCTAAAATATTCACCCAAAATACTGCTGAAACTCTGCAAAATTATCAAACCACTGCAGGAACACACTGTTCACCAGCACCTGGTACCTGGTGTCCTGCTGATTCTCTGAGCTCAGTGGCTCACATGCTGTTCTGAGAGCTGCAAACCTCTCAGCTGGATGTGCAAGCTATAGAGCCTGCCCTTGTTTCACAGGCTGTTTGCAAAGATCTAGTCACTAAAACGGCACAGCTGTTTACAGCAAGATCAGACACTGCATCCTGGATACTGCAGTTGCCATGGATATTACAGGAGTAATATGCTCCATTTCATGCAAAATGAAACAGCACACAGCTCTCTGTTCCCGGGGCAGCTAAAATGAGGTCTTTATAAAAGCTCAGATTTCCTCCTTTGAGTTGTTCTTACCTTTTCTATCTCCATGTCAATGTTGTAGAGAGTCCTCTGAAGCCGAAGGTTGACCAGGTGGATGATTTTGTGCTCCTCTTCAGGGCTGTGATGGTCGTCACTGTCCACTAGAAGATGGCCCTTCTGCTCTGCCAGCACAGCTTGCTGTCCCTCATTCTGTAGCTTCATTTTCTCTTTCTTGCTCTTGGCGACTTTCTTGTCTTTTTTCACTTTAGGGGTCAACTTTGGTGAGCTCTGGACGCTGGCATGGGAGAAGTCCCAAGCCAAGGTAGCATTTTTCACCTCTATCGCGGTGTGAGGATTGGCTGGTTTTTTCTTTATCATATGAACCTCTTCCATTAGAAATAAACTCTGATAGGAGTTGTGAGAGAGGTGTAAAGATGAGACACCTGATCAAGACTGGGAGACAAGCCTACGGCACACTCACGCAGCAAAACACATCAGGCTATATAGTAGGAGGAAGCTGAAGAGCAAAAGGTAGCTCATTAGTGTAACTAACTCCAGGTCTGCTAAGTGGCTGGGGCATTCCTGGATATGGTGGAAGCACTTGGATACACTTGACTTTCACAGAGCTGCAATACTCTGGATGTGATAAAACAGGGGCTTCTTCCTTTGACACTGTTTGCAACTGCAGCTCGGTATGTTCCAGATTAAAAACACGTGAGCGGAACACACAGCTTGGAGAGGAAAAGTTACTTGAGACAAAGTGACTGACCTGTCCTGCACACCAACTCATTATGGAAGGAGACAGAATGACTTGTAACTTGAGCCTTTACCCATCAACTTTTCTACTGGGAAAATGTCATCTTGCATAAGTGTAGCTGATCTATCTCAGGCTGCTTGTCAATATGAAGTAATCCATTAAGTCAACTGTATCATGTTTTCCACCACATCCATCAGTATTTACAATCAACAGATTAGGAAGACATTTTTCACACAGTTTAATTACAGGATAAAATGTTTTCCACTTACACAATGTTTTGAACCAAGTACTCTTTTGTGACTAAAAAAAATCTCAATTAATTCCCAGCCTTATTTATTCTTGCAATTGCTATGTCTGAATCACACACTCATAAGAAAGCTCAAATCCATTTACAGAGCCAAAAAGTCAATTAAATTTTTACTGTGATGTCAGAGTATCCCCACCTTCTTACATTTCCTACACAATTTATAGCCAAACTGGGAGATAATTCAGTCTCCTTTTTCTTCTCTTCCCTCTCAGAAGATTCCCTTTAGTGCACTTGGATTTAAGCAAGGCTGATTTTAGGCTGACTTAGAAGATGAAGCAAAATTGTTCAAAAGCAATGGAATCTCAAAACAACTCTACAGATCCTGTTTTTCTCACACAGAGGTTTGTTTCATGAATACATGAATTCTGTGCAATGCATCTGTCAATGCTTCTGAAAGTTTCTAATTGGAAAGTGCTATTTTCCATTCTGGAAATTTCTACAATGTAATGTAATACACTGTTATCTTCAAGAAACAAGACAAAGTAAACGTCTCCCCTCTGAATAAAGTACACACAGTGTATCCATCCTCCAATCTCCATGATGTGAGATAAGATTGTTCATTATCAGAGTTTTACATTTTCTACCATAGATCTGTTTTGCCAGATCACATCTCCATTTTATTAATATAGGGGAATTTCAGTTACTTAATCTGGTCTGGAAATATAAAACCTCAGATTTCTATGGCCACAGATACAACTCCACTGTTTTTTGTCAACCTGCTTACCTAGAACCTGATATTATCAAAAAGTTTTATTAGCAAAGCATAAAATTTCATTGTGTACTTCTTGCAGTCTTTTCATACAGATGTTCTTAAAATGTAGCTAAAAGTTATTATACTATGAGCCACCAAATCCTTCACTCTCTTATCTCTTCCTGTGGCCAACTTCAAAATCATACAATCATTGAATCACATTATTTTGCTTCTCACCCTGGTATTATTTTTATTCTTAAACTGCTAATATTTTTTCACTACATTTGTATCTCTTGCAGAGTCAAATCATCTGGAATGCTAAGTGTAAAGAAAAATAACTTCTCTGCCATTAAATCATATTACCTTCCAAATGCTCCCTTTGCATCTACTGAACACATACAACACTCCACACTTACAAGGAAAACTGTGAGGCCAAATGACTGCTTACCTTAAATCTGTCAACAGAAACAGATGCCTCAGACAGCGACTTCACTGAGAATGGAGTAACTTTGAGAGCAAAAGTCATTGAGTTAAAGACAGTGACCACTGTGAATGCCTAAAAACAAGACAAGAAAAATAACCACATTTGGATGCAATATCCTAACAGCTCCAGCCTTCTAAAAGCTGAAATGGCACCACAGCAAGTCAAAACATAGAAAAGGCCAAGTCCAAGAACAGCCATTTAAATATTCAGTGTATTCTCAAACAGCAGAAAAATCTACCTAGCTCCTTCTCTAGTGCCTTTAACAGACCAAGACAAACCTGCTTTCTTTGTAGGTCTAACAAACACAGCTGCCAGCAAATTCTGCATTAACCTAAAAATGAAAGCACAAACTCAAATCCTATTTTTAGACGTTTGTGCTCTTTGCATCCAAGCACACTGCAAAACAAAAACATCCAGTAATCTGCAATGCCCCATCTGAACAGGAGTACTCATTTACATTCAGCCCAAAACCTGTTCTGAGGAAGGCACGAAGAGCCTTTTGTGCAAAATATAAGGCTACACCTGCTGCTGTCACAGCCATCAGATATTCACTTCCATGAGTGAGGATACAGCCTGGCACATGGGCATAGCCACACAAGAAACGGCTCAAAAGAAAAACTACAGAAGCAAAAGCATAAAGAATAATTTTCATCAGTTTACCTGAGCCGCTGTAAGGTCATAGCCAAGGATCATATGGACAGAAAAGGTCACCACACTGGCAATGACAACAACAATGGGAGCCACTCCCACAGTGATGCTCTGGAAGTAACCTGCACGCTCCAAGATTTTGCGTTCCTCCTCACGAATTTCTAGAAATACAAATAGGGGCACCACGTCTGAACTGTCATTCAGTGAGTACAAACACACAACAGCCAGTACCACAATAGTATAAACACTGAGTAAGAGGCATAACTGTACACTTCAGTGTTTATCACATTATAAAACTTCTCATAGAGAAAGCAATTATAGAGGAGGAAACTATAATGGTCTGTAATCTCCACACAAATGTACAGATTTAAATTTTTTTAAATTAGAGTAGCCAACACATTTCTTAAATTATGGAAGAGGAACAAAACTGAAAAATTTAGGATTAGTGTCATGCCACAAACATCATTACACTAGGAAGTGACATTTTAGAAGCAGGTCTGTTTGTCCAGCCCATTGTGCATAACACAAAGGAGCTTGAAGGATGACAGTGTTCTTACACTGCTCATACAGCAGCACCTACAGCACAAAGTCAGGCTGCACCAGGCCACAAAGCTATGGGGCACCTGCAGCAAAGGAGACATTTACAGACTGTAGGAAACTCACTTTGAACGTTCTGAGAAAATGGTTTGACCCAAGCATACATTTTAATGAATTTAATGTAATTAAGAACTTCATTCATCTTTTGCACACGTTCATCTGTTGTTGCTACGCATTTTCTTCTGAAATAAGCTGTGAGGCGTGACACAAACATCTGAAACAAAAGACAACACCATGAAACATTAATGGCAACTCAGAAAAAGCAAGTACATTCCATTCCTAATTACCAGAGAAAATTAATTTTTAATCTTAAAAGGGGATTCAGGGATAGGGCCAGGCAACTGCTGCTCTAACATAAAACTCAGGCTGGAAACACCATTCATTTCCTCCTGCCCCATCTGCACCAAACACCAGACTTATGAGAGCAATTTTCAACAAAAATTTGAGAGAATAAAGGTGTGCACTTTTACCAGTATTGAACAGTACCAGTTTAGTTAAAGTTTCTGAAGCACATAATTAACCTAAAGACACACAAAGTTGGCCCCCACTTTAGCCAGCCTTTTAACTTGATTCTGTAAGGCAAATCAGGACTTTGCCCAGCCAGATCAATTTCTAGTCTATGCCAATGCTATGAAGGTAGTAAAACAGTTTTTAACACTTTTACTAAACTAATCTAAAAATGGAAAGTTGTTTGACATGTTTTAAAGTATCTGCTACTCCTACATTCACCCCATTCCTGGTCTGAATTTCAAACCCAATACACTACTCTAGGAAGGTTTATCTCCTTGCCTTTATTTACACACCTGCGAACTCTTTTGAAGTTCCCCATCATAAAGGAGGGCTGCTGGAAAGAACTGGAAAACATGCTCAAACTCCACTCCTCACTCCCCTCTAATATGCAATTCCCACTACATAATCCTTGCTTTTGGCCAGATAAATTGAACCACAGTGAACCTCACAGCATTCAGCCTCCATGGTTTATAAAACATGTATTATGAATACAGCGACAAATCTTCAGCAGTCTTACAGGCATTTTATAGGCAAGAAGATTTTGGCTTGAACCTGCCTATTTCACAGCTCAGCAGAAGCACCTCATCAAGAACAAGCTGTGCCAGATGTGGTGTTTTTCAACATCTTGTGTTGAGTCAAGAAATCAAGAACACTGCAACACTGAGCCACCATACACAAGCTGGAGGCCTCATGTCTTTCCAACCTCAACCATGAGCACCTGAATATTCTGCAGTTTCATTTAGCTATGGATATTAGTCTCAGTCAAATCTATCAGTTTTCCTATCCCCATTTTCTAATTTTATCACTTTGAGCTTCCTGTTTCCAAATTTCAGCTTCATACACTATTTTATAAACAACTTTAATAATGTGCAATGCCCTAAACTGACTAAATCTAGCCCATTTCTACACCTTTTATTTAGAACTCTACATTTTTCTGACCGAAGAAAAATGAAGCAAGTCTTAACTCTTTCCAACTCACCATTGCTGGGTAGAAGAGGATGAAGACAGCAGATCCCAAGAAGCCTGTCGGACCCAGAATAATCACATTATAAACCATTCCCAAGATGGCCACAATAGGGCCCCCAGCCAACAAACTGCCAACTGCTGCAGCTTCAAACATCCTCTGACCATCATTGGAACAAACATTTATGAGCTGAAAAACAGACAGAACAGGTTATTTAGATTTAAGGCACAGCTCATTCTCAAAGGAATATATTACACATCCCTTTTCACACCGCCATTTCCAAAACAAGGCTGCAGCTTACCTCTCCAAGAGACTTCTCCTTGATGTTCTTCAGCTTAAGAATTTTCTTAAATGCCATTGTCAGGACAGCCCCACGCAGTCTGACCCCCGTGCGATAATTCAACGCCCAGGTTAGTGCCAGGGACCACGATCGCACCACTTCCGTCATAAAGATGCCAAAAACTAAAAACAAGCTGTACTGCAGGTTGGACTCACTCTGCTGGGTATACTCCAAGAGGTGTTTCACAACGAATGCCTACAGGAAGAAATGCAAGCTTGCATGAACACCCCATCATCCCAGAAGACCACACAACAACTTTATGTTAAGTTAGAAATAAGTAGGCTACTTTGCTTTTAAAAGAGCCGTTTGAAATAGAAAGCATCTTCTTTCCAGAAGTAAAAGGTGTCAATACAAGAAGTACTGTAACACAAGCCCTGCTGAGAGCCAAGCACTGAGTCAAATTTAGTAAGTAAAGAGAGTTTAATTTGGAACCGTATTCCTCGCAGCACGCTTCTAATCCTCCGTGTCTTCTAACTTAACATAAATGTGTCAGTTAGCTGAAAGCAATGCATTATCATATAGAAGAGTTTAAAAATATAGTCACTACTTATACATCTGCACACATTAAGAAACATTCCTTTACGTGACATTAAGACCTTTTTTATTTTATCTTTGGTTTGCTTCAAACGTGCTTATTTGATAAAAAGGAACAATGTACCTACAGTTGTAGAGGGGAAGAGTGAGAAGGACATTTGCAAAACATTCCTGGAAATAAACATCAGCAGTTTAATAGTAAAGAAAAAAACAAGCCAAAAGCACAAGGTACGCAATACCACAAATCATTGGGGACAAGGGAGAAAAAAAAAAAAAAAGACAAAATTAACCATTCAATCCCTCCCCTTACCCTCTTCCCCCAAGAACATAAACACTTTACCTCAGGAATCACATTTCAAACATCACCTGTAAAAAGAGGACAGTCCCAAGAGCCACCAATTCCCAACTCCAGCTTTGTGGTCCAATGGCACAATAAAACATTATACAATTCACAACCACCAGCATTAAATATTATTAACTGCGAAAAAATAGGCTTTTATTTGAAATGAAGTGTCATCTTATATGGTAACATCTCAAAAACACTGTACAACAGGTAGACCACTGTATAAACATACAATCTGCACATACAGGATAATTATAAAGGGCTAATATCTAACAGTCAGTCTTAGCTTCCAACAACTTAGATTTGAATCTACACACAAAATTAAAGATACAAAAACAGAATTGTATTTGTTCACGAAGTCCAAAAGAAGTCAAACTTGAAGATACCAACAGAGGAGGCTTCTGAGGCTGCACAAACTCTGAAATCTGGTTTCAAAAGTATCTTACAGTAAGGCTTCACAGACAGCAAAAAACTTCCTAGAGAGCTTTTCAACAAATGATGTTTTAAGATACTGGTGCTTTTGAAATACTAGTACAGAGTAGAGAATTACCTTTGCCCACAAGAAAAATCAACAAAAAAATCTGAGACCAAAGAAAATATTGAGAAGCCTTTCACATCACAGTCCGTGGAAGTCCTCTTGGATATATCATGTTTTGCAAGTAGGAGTTCTGTATAGTTTGAAGAGAAAGGAAAAAAACAAAACCCCACTACTCCAGCAAAGGTTTTGATAGCTACAGCCCAGCACCAAATAACAAAAAAAAAAAAAAATTCATCTGTTCAGAGGAAAGTAATTCTGCACATCAGAACCAAGGAAACATGCTGTAAATAATTTTGCTCTTTTTCACAGGTGTGAATTAAAGCCAGATGTCCATAGGGTTCTAGAATGGCCACTGAGAAAATTTACATACCGATCACTGAACAAATGTGAGGAACTCACATTCACAGATCTATTGCATTCCAACTTTCTCCCGATTGGATTTAATTTTACATCGACTGTTTGGATCACAACTGCATACAGTTGGTTTGCAGTTACTGTGAAGATTACTGACTTCTTTTTCCAGTATTCAATCCAACATATGCAACCGAGTCACTGAGCAACTGGGGTGAAAATGCCCCTTTTTCCTCATGAGCTGTAACTCAGCATGGTCGCAGACTGCAAGCATTTTCTGACACACACAGCATTGCTGAAAGTCTCCAAGAGAGGATGTATAACGATAGCAGATGTTTCCTGGTGTCTCATTCCTCCCAAAACTTTAGTGCTACTTTGCAGCACCATTTTATAGATTCAGCATCTCCCATGATGGAATAGAAACCAGCTTACATTATACCCCAATTTATTTTTGTTCCGGAAGAAAGAAAAGAGGAAACAGTAGATTAAAGGGGGGGGGAAAAAATATCACAGAAAATTAACATTTACATCTGAACAAGTACTATTCAAATTCATATTAGTTTAATGAAAAGAATCCAGCATAAAGTTATTTACAGAACAAAAACATTACAGTATATAAACTAAGCTAAGGGGGGAAAAGAGCTCCTGTGGCTATTACCGCAGCGGTTGGTACAAGCTGCTCAGCTGTCTTAAGCATTCCCATGGAATAAACATTACCTTACCTTTGCTCTTGGCGGTGGCTCTGCCCAGCAGGAATGCCTCATCCTGACGCAGAAAACAGCCATCCTGAAAACGCTGAAGAACAGCTTCTGTCACTGGTCCCACTGCAGTGCTGGCGTCCCCACTGCAGCCAGCGCGCCACGGCACGAGGCAGGCTGCAGCTGGAGCCAAATGGGAAACTGGAAAACTTACCTCCCAGAGCTTACCACTCCCCCCTCCAATAACTGACCAAACTGTCAAGCTGTGCTCCACTAAAATAGCAAGTTTCCCTATCTCCCAAATGGGAAGGATAGCTCTGAACAGCAGCAAACAGGTACATTGTTCAGACCTGGAGTTAAACTGATTATGTTTAGTAATCAAGAAACTTCTTTGCTCCTCCACCAGAACTTGAAAGTTTTGGTAGCTGATCAAATAGTAGCAAGTATTTATTGGAGATAAATAAATATCACCTATACTAGTACATTCTGATGGTTATTACAAGGCAGTCTGACACATGCAGCTGACTCACCAGGTTACAGGTTTAGATTCTGTGCCAGATGCAAAATTTATCAAAATGAAAAAAAAAAAAGGAGGACCCTTGAAGGATCTGTTCCCCCCCAAAAAAAAATCTCAAACCAAAGCAAAAGAGTCCACACAGGAAGTCTTGAACAACTCTTTTCCAGTTATAACCATCACAATGCTCATTAGCAAAGCCACAGCCATTTGCTGGCATCTCAAGATCATAGACATTCAATTAAAATTTTTGAAGTTTAATATAGTGTTTAACTCCACTTTCATAATTTTCCTCCAATACATGAGGTCAAGTCAAGTGCTTTTCCTAATCTCCCTTTTCATCTTCAGGTGACTGAAAGGGTGTAACAATACAAGAAAGCACTGATACTTCTGAGGAGACAGCATAGGCATAGCCCTGAGGCATGCCATTTTTAAAAACAGGGAGGAGGGATGGTAAAGACTTATTTTCATGCCAAATGGTGGAATCAAAAGTGAATTTGGCCTTATTCAGAAAAATGAATAAGGTTGTCTGTAAATGGGCAACTGTCTATAGATAATTTTAAGTTACCCATATTGAGCACCAATTGCAGCAGTAGCCCCCAACATAATCAAGCTGGTTTGTTTTTTTCCTTTCCCCTCTCACTCTCTCATTCAGCAGTTTGGCTGAGAAAAACTGAGACCATTATGCTACAGAAATTAGGGGTAACCCTGCTGCAAGCTCTTTGCTAAAGATAAAAGCAGCTCCTCAAGCCCTGTAGTGAAACAATGACAGAAGCTCTTCTTGGGAAAAGCTAGTGCTGTTAAAACCTTAATCATGATTTATTGTTAATTACCAAAGTATGTTCATATATTTTATAATAAAGACAACTATAAAATACTACAAAGAAAACAATACCACAGAAACATTCATTGTTATTCATATTACATGAAACAAAGCAAACTTTAAGAAGACTTAAAAAACAGAACATTTTTATATAAGACATTTAAAAGCAGGAAAACATTTTAAAAAGACATTTCACCTAACAGTGCACCCAAGTGTACTTACCCAAGAAATGAACCTCCAGCTTACCAGCACACTGAAACGTGTACTACTAGCAGTAATACTGCTCCTACTCCTCAAGGGAAATGTGTAGAGAATAAATTTAGTCAAAATTTCAACTTTAAATCTGCACAGCATGTGCAACAAACAGGTGACAAAAAATGGTGTGAATGTCAAGTCCCATGTTGTTATCTTCAATACGACCCTTAGCAACACACAGCAGCCGTTCCTAGAGGCAACAACGTTTTCTAACACTTCTACCTGAAACCTGTCTGGCCATTCTCTGTAGGGTCAGTAAAAACTATGCCCACAGACTTCTTGAGACCTGCTCACATTAGTTCTTAAGCAGTGCTCTCAGAATTGTTTCGGTCCACTTCTTGAAGACTGTTATTAATGCCAATAATTTAAGATTAGTGTTTTATCAGACTGAATTTTATTACAAGATAAATTTACACAATTTCAAAGAGAAAAACAGAAGACCTGTACATAAAGATCTTATGAAAAAAGCAAGTTATGCAGTTAAGGAAGAACTTTAAACTATACTCAAAATCAAAGAGACAAACCAAAAAATCCATTTCGTCCAGGATACCTAAACTCCCCCTCCCTCCTCCAAGAACTTGCCTGGGTATTCAGCAACTGATCCATCAGCTGTGGGATTCTTGGATTATCGAATTGCTCTTGACTTTTACCCCAAAATTTCTAGCTAGTCACAACATTTAAGTGATTCTGCAATGAAACCTTAAGATTTTACAGTTGGCCATGAGATGGAGCCCTCTGGGGTTGTTAAAAAAAGGATGGATATTACTTACTGGTCCACTGAAACCCGCGAGCTGCGTGATCATCAGACACACTATGGAAAGGATGAGCCTGGTGCGGCAGAAAATCCACACAACCCTCCGGAGAGAAGCATCATCAGGCCCATTTTCCTTCAGTTCTTCCTGCCACAGTCTTTCCAGTCTAATAAAAATAGAAGATTGATGAGATTTATTCATGTCATAAATTTTTCACCATGAGCGAAGTCAGTCTCATAGATACTTCTTTGTTAAAACTCTAAGTGCTTCCTAGCTCAGACCAACAAAAAATATTAAGAGAAATAAGTACATTCTGTGAGGTAAAGAGAAATATCTATGTAGTGTTACTTCCATAGGACAGAGGGATGAAAAACAGTGCCAAAGAGATCCCAGGCAAAGAAAAAACAATCTTGATATTCTGACAGCCTTTCTCTGCTGAACTGACTGAAGAGCTGTGGTGTCAAACCTAAAGAAATTCTCACTAACCACAGAAGGTTAGCCTGATCAGAAGATCTGACCCACATTCAAATCACCTTGCTACTGACAGTATTATTTCTCATTTTAGCACAAGACTTTTTTCACTGTAGCCTTGAGAAAAAAAATTTCGTTTAATAAAGAATCAGATTAAAGACATGCAAAATCAGAAGAATTGCAAAACATTCCTAAAGATGTAATCCTCTAATTTCACAGAAATCGGCAGGGCTACAGAAATTGCACTGTGTGAGAAAGTTGTCTCTGAAAGATGAAAGTGAATTCCACCATTCTGAGAAAGGCAAATCAAAATGTCAGTGCTGCTCTTCTAGGGCAACACTGTACCACTGCCTGCACATTAACATGTAATAAATGGAAACAAGAAAATAATAATGAACTAGATGTCTTTACCTTCTGCAATTGACATCTGAAGACTCATGCCTTGATAAAGACCATACATCATCCATAAACAGTTCTCCTTTCTTGTATGCTCTGTGGGCCAAAGGAGTGAGCCAGGAGAAGGTCATGGAGGAGAAAAGCCCAGCATTATCAACAGGGTGCTGGTGTCTAAAAGAATTAAAAAAAAAAAAAAAAAATCACAAACAAATGAAAAAGGAAACAGGAAATGCAAGTCTTCAAGAAAAACAAAGCCTCCTCTCATTGAAAGCACTCAGAGTACCAAATGGTCCATGCCAGCCACACTTGCTAAACAAATTCTGATGTTTCCAGTACCAGTCAGCAGACCTACATCTGCAATTCTGCTTTGTGACTGGTCTGAAAAGCAAATGCTGTATCAGTTCTGTGGTAGCCTAAAGACGTACTTGGAAGTGGTCCGTATGGGTTTCAGTGCATTCAGACCATGGTGGTATTTGCCCTTGTGATGCTCTTCATCCAGCATTCTCAGCTGGGAATGCACAGAGGTGTCCAGTGGCAGGCCCTCTGCCCGAGCTGCTGCTTCCAAGGCATCCTGGCATTCAATCTGCTTTTACAAGAAAGACAACAGATTCAGACTTCAAAACTACATTTGAAGTCCATGACTCCCATCTCCAGCAATTTTGCACCTCTTCCTTCTGCAAATTATTGTGCAACAATCAGTCATTTCAGTGTTTCAGACCACAGGCTTCATCCTGGCAGCAAAGCCATGGAAGGCACAGATTCTAGATCTGTGTTAGACTGCTGCATTTGTAAAATATAAATTAGTACCAGTATTGTACCTGTGCATTCAAAAGATAAATGGATAGACCTGACTAATCCTGCCACAGGAAGTACAATAGTACCTATGACATCAGTTCAAGAAATGAATGACTGGCTTACGTAGTGAAAATAAAATATTTTCTTGATGAATTTACACCCTCTCAGTATAATTTAGATATTCTTATCCACAGAAAATACAAGGTATTTTCAGAATGCTACTGAAGTCTCTTCTTCAAAAACACTTTAGATTAGATTAAAAAGCCAAATATGCACTAAACAAAATTGTATTTCCTTTTATCATGTTTCCTGTTTTTCCTCTTTTCCTTTAATCTAAATGGAACAAAGATGACAATTTTCTCTGCTCCCAGGAACAGCTTCTCAACGGCTCAGCAACTTTGGCAACAGCCACTTCTTTAAAAGGCAAAGCTTATCTCAGGGAGGGTTTCCACATCCTTAGTGAAAGGCAGACTTAACTGCTAATCCAAGAGGAGAAAAAGCAGTGATACAGGATAGTCAAAATGTTGCAGAGTTCAAACAAGTCTTTTGATGAGCAGCCAGATGTGGCAAAACAACATGAGGAAATGAGCCTGTTATCTGTACTGGCAGAGGGCCCTTGACTGGTTCTGCTAACTTAATGCGCCGTTCATTGCAGGACCACATTACCTGCTTGTATTCTAGTTTATTGCAACTGAGCTACTTTGTAGGAAAAAAAAATAATTTCTGAGGTAAAAACCTTCCTGAAGGTCTTACAAAGATACTATGATTGTACCTTTATTAGCTGACCTATCAGAGCCAAATTACTTATTTCCTCGAAAAGAAACAACTGCAATGCATTGTAGTCTCTTACAAGAACTAAATACAAGCACTTGGTTCCTGACTTCCAAGTCATGTGATTGTTTTTGGAAATGTCATCATTTATCATTGGCTTTGTACTATATTAATATGTAATAGTATAGCACACTAAGACATTGTTTCCACCCATGTGGAGGATGAGAACAGGAACTGATAATGTCATAAATCTGTCCCTTATTTACTTACCAAAGTACTTAAATAGTGCCTAAGGATGTTGTCAATAATCCATAATTCTATCTCAAAAAACGTATTTGCTAAACTATCACCTAAAACTATGGTAACAAGAGATAGCCAAATAACACGAAAACAAAAGAACATTAAAACCTTATGACACATGGAATGACTCAAAAATACACAGTACTTTCAATCTGCATTACAAGACTTCTCACTCAATTTATATTAAATTACTGACTCACTAAGGCAACACTGCCTTACTAAATCTACACAAACAAGCATTAATAAGGGACCTGCCATAAACATCCCAAAGGAGTCAGAAGTAGGGAAGAGTTCTGCACCACCTCTTTTCTGGATACAGCAGAGGAATTCTTAACTGGTTTGTTGTGTTACCCTCACAAGAGGCCCCGGGCAGATCTGCCCAAACATCTTGCTGCTGATAACACACTTGTTTCTAAGTGATGCCATAAGCCAGTTGTATAAACACTGCTTTTCAGAGCCCATAAAAAAGTGCCTATAAGTAAAAAATAAAAAAACTTCAAAATCAAAAAACATTGATTTTTCATGAATTTGTGATGTACACAAAAATAGATTTTGATCACCTAGAAACAAGAATAGCTCTTTAATACATAAGCACAATTGCAAGGGGTTTAGGCAGTCCAAAGATAATACTCATAAACAGTCACTGTTAAAAATAAACTCTCCAGAGCTGCTCAAGTGAGTTATCTCAGCAAATGTGGAAAAGCTGCATTGATAAATATGAGGGCACTACCTTTTAAAAGCCTTTATAATACCTTGCCATAAAGACAACTACAAGCATAAACCCCCCACGGAGAGCATTGCTCATCTCCATCTTGGTGAGATTGTCAAAATCCCACATGTAAGACTATCAAGAAACAAATGCATCACACCACTGAACAATTAAGATTTAAGAACAACTCTACAGTTCTGCGTAGTTCTTTGAAGATTAGAAAAATCTTCAAAGCAGAGTTTATCAGGAAGAAGCAAGACTCCTAAGTTGTTATACAATGTCCTTCAGGAACAAAAGACTGAAGTAAAAAAAACCTAAACAACCCCAACACTGTTCATTTAGGTTTCTGATTAGGTTTTCTGATTGCCTGCATGTGTGCACAGTTTTCCTGGAAACCAATGCCTTGAGTTCTTACTAGTGTGCTTCAACAGGCTCCAGCTCTGCTATAGAAATAAATGTCTAACAAACAAAAGTGAACTGAAATAACTTGTTCTAATCCATCAACTTATTAATACGCCAAAACAAGCAATGAAATTAGTGATATGACATGATATTGATAACTCCAAAGAAATGCTCACAGAAACAAAACAAGTCTAAATCAGATATTGCTAACTGGAAGAAGATTCATTCAGACATTTTTATTGAGAAACAGCAGATGACTACTCAGCATCAACAAAAGGTCAAAAAAAAAAAAAAGAATTGTTACAAAAGACACAAAGGATAAAGCAGAAAACATTACCATACCACTTAAAAAACCCTAGGGTTTGCATCCTTTTTGACTGCCAAACTATGTCCCTTGTCACTTCAGTTCAAAAAGGGTATTAAACTTACTTTCCTTGATTGATGATAACAATGGGGCTTGGAATAGCATAAACTTAAGATTTTTCAGCTGGATAGAAAAAAGGAATAAAGGTACAGGTATTTGAGAGGTCCATAAAGCCTCAAGAAAGAGAGCTGGAGAGTGACCACCAACTGTTCTTACAACAAAAGAACGAGGCACACTTAAATTTCGAATTCTCTATCATAGGATACTGTAATGCTCAAATGCATAAATGGACTAAACACTGGAGAATTAAACTCACATAGGATAAGCATATCATGGCATACTAACACATGGCAGAGGGCAAGAACAATCATTGATCCAGCCAGCATCTTACTGATAGCTGGTGGATGCCAAACAAATTTTCTTCAGCCACAGGCATCTCCTAACAGAGCACAATAGTTGTGCACTCCACATGCCAGGAAGCTCTGACACACCTGAGTACAGGCTGATACAGTTCAATAGATTAGTATAAGAATTAACAGATTGAGAAAACAGTTAAACTTTTAATCTTGGGCCCAATCCCCAAGACTGGGGCAAGCACCAAGGAAGTACCACTGCACATACGATCTTCCTTTATGGGTGGGTCACAGAGGGGCAGAGAAAAAAAGAAGCACAGCTGGTGCTGCTATCACAGAGCACACTTGCCCCATCTGAC